GGGGGGGGGGGGCAGGAGCAAATCCTGAAGATCCTCAGTGCTGCAGTTCAGTAAAAGTGAGAGGGCCTCAGACACCGCAGCTGCTGTCGAAGAACGGGAACAGCTCAAAGTTTATTTCCTGCGCTGGAGATGAATTGTCTTCCACGTGTTTACTTCAGCTGGGCTCTCCTGACTGTAGCTGTGATCCCCGCGTCGTCNGGGGGGGGGGGGCAGGAGCAAATCCTGAAGATCCTCAGTGCTGCAGTTCAGTAAAAGTGAGAGGGCCTCAGACACCGCAGCTGCTGTCGAAGAACGGGAACAGCTCAAAGTTTATTTCCTGCGCTGGAGATGAATTGTCTTCCACGTGTTTACTTCAGCTGGGCTCTCCTGACTGTAGCTGTGATCCCCGCGTCGTCAGGAGAAATGTATACATCGCTGCTGAACGTAAAGCAGGCGATCAGCGTTGAACGGAAGCTGATCGATTACTTGAGAACTTATATTGACCAGGAGCTGGAGAGGCTGGAGGACATCAAACGGTGAGTGACATGCAGGATGATGCATGATGATCACACTTCAGAGGGATGAGCGCTTTTTTCCATTTCCATGCGTGAAGTGACAGTTTTTCATTGATATCCCCATAGATTTGTGGCTGCCCAAGCGTGAGAGACAGCGCTGCAGCTGTAATATATTTGTGGACAATTAAAGGAAAGATCCGCTCTAATTGCTCTGTGGTGATGATATCATCCAGTGGCCAATCTTGGAGCTGCTCTACACAGTGAATAATAATGGAACAAAGTTTTTGCACATGATGATGAGAGCATATGTGGAGGTTTTATTTGGATATGGTCACGTCAGAGACACAGCTGGGAAGCCTGCATTTAAACTTCATATCTTGGAGGCCTGATTTCCATCCCAAGAAATTAGCAATTACACCAATGACCTGAGACAATAAATTGTGAAGGGAGAACGGCTTTTAGGATCTTCTCTCTCTTGCCCAGAAACTTTCATTATGTTGGAGAGAGAATGACTGATGAGGAACAGGACTTATCAAGTCACTTCCCACCAAATTTATGCTCATGATTCAACAGTTTCTGTGTGGAAGTCACTGCCACGAGTTTTATGGAGGAGCCATGAAACTTAAGACAGGAGCTCAGTTGTGGTGGCTTTTTTGTGGTGTGGAGTTGGAAAAAGAGTCATGTCAGGCATCAGCTTTATTGATCTGTTGTGACATGGTGATAATGGAAATATTACCAAGATTCAAGATTCAGTCATTCTTCTAAATGAAATGCTGTTCCACCAAATAAAGCAGATGAAAACAAATAAAGAAATAAAAGCAGATAAGGCAAACATAAATAAATAGATAAAGTAGGTCTAGGAACACACTGAGCTTCTGTAAAGTGTGCTGAGTTGCAAATTTGAAAAAAAAAATGGCAGCTATTTCAGAAGTTATGAGTTCATGTGATAAGATGCAGGTTTCCATCTTTCTTTTCTGAAAATCTAGATTCTAGATTCTAAGTTGTATTAGAATTTGTGGGACTGCATCATACTACATGATGAGATTTAATGGTTATTTCTTTATTTTTCTTATAATATTTTGATATCACTGCACTAGTTATTTTCTCTATATTTGTTGGTTATTTCATTTCATGCAATCAGTTTATTTCCAGTGGATTGTCTGTATTGAGTAATCAATGTATTTTGACTATTTCCACACTGATAAAGACCCAGTGAGGTCAAAACTGGTACGTTTTTAAAGCAGTATACCTGCCTAAATACAGAGTTTTAATACAACTTCTCCTCTTGTTCTGCCCGAAGGTCGTTTTCTTTTCTTTTACCAGTGTTTAGACCTTCAGGAGCACCTTAAGGTTCCCAGGACTACATGTGAAACTGACTGAGCGCTTGGTCTTTTCTTTCCTTTTGTAACCTCACTTTATGTTCTTTCACGCAGCTTTTATGTCAAAGTGTCTGACCTTCACACTGAACTTTACAAAGGCCCGGGGACTGCGATGGCAAACCCTCTGGTGGCATTCACCCTGATCAAGCGGCTGCATTCAGAGTGGCTGAATGTCGTCTACAGCAACGAAGCCTTGGAGAACACACAAGGTTGGCTCACTGCCTGCTTCACAGACACATCTGGTGGTGATAACTAAACAGCCCCCACTCTTCTCTGCTGTCACCAACCCCCACCCCCACCCCCCACCCAGTTCACCTTTTGGCTTTCTGCTGTCCAGCCCTCAGGTCCAGTTACGAGGACAAAGAGGCCGATCTGCCCAAACTGGAAGACCTCCAGGGGGCCGCCAAGGGGCTGATGAGGCTGCAGGATGTGTATGCTCTCCAAGTTACGAGCCTCGTAAGGGGTCGTTTCCAGAGAGTCTCTAATGGAAAGCCTATTGATATCTACATGCCAACAGTCTCTGTCCCACTGTCTGGTGATGACTGCTTTCTGGTTGGAAAGGTACACAATCCAATATTTTCCTTTGTTGCTTCATAACATAGTTTTAAACCTATTTCTAATGGTAATGGAATCACTCAGACCCTTTATTTAAGCAAAAGTACCAATACAACAATCTAAATATACCACATTTCACTACACTACAGTATTATCAGCTAAATGTACTTATAGTATCAAAAGTACGCTTTCTGCAGAATAATTTTTTGACTTTGTACCTGGTAGAGGTGGAGGCAGGTTTTACTATTTTATATACAGTTAGCTAGGTGAGTACGGTGGCTCCAACCTAGGGCTTGGGGCCCTGCATCAAGTCACAAGACAAATCTGTGGGGTTGTGGGATGATTAATGAGAAAGTTGCACAAATGTATGTTCATTTTTTTTTTACTTTTCTCTTATCATTTTCGCCTCTTTTTTGATTCTCAAACAGTTATTTAAATGAAACTAGAGAAGTTTAGAGGGGAAATCACTCATTTGAACTCTTAGACATCTGAAATGTGATAAGGAGCCCTTAACAGACAGCTTTTTTTGGAAAGGGTCACATGCCAAAAAAGGTTAGGGACCACAGGGCTTAATCTTCAACATGTGTTGGTTTTTAATCTGCAAAGTGACTAGTACCTATGGATCTTAAATAAATGCAGTGGAGTAAAAAGTACAATATTTCCCTCTTAAATGTGATAAGGTAGATGTATGAAGTGACATAAAATGAAAATAGTATAGTACACGTACTTCAAAATAGTACTTGAGCATATAACTTTAGTAAATGTACTTTCTTAATTCCCATCACTGCTTATTTGTCACCTCTCCATTTCCTAAAATATAGCAAAGGACATGTGATGTAAGAGTGCTGGGACGTCTGTCATCCTTCTCGGTCACTTTTTGGACTAATAATAAGCTACAACTGCCCATGTCAACAAATGAAATTGAGAGATGTTTGAAGATGCTGCTGTGAAAAATTTCCCTCCCTGATTAACATCCCAACCCAAAGCTCTGTCAGTCATTGTGTACAGACCGTCAGCCTGGAAAAAGTGGAATTCTTCCCATTGCGTGCCTGGGAATCCATTTCATGTGAAAATGAATATGCTATTCTACAAGTATGAAAGAAAGAAAAAAAGGTTTCCCCACAGTAGATTCCACTGTTTATGTACAGCGGTGATGTGTGAGGGCAGGGCAATGTGGGGGAGAGACATCCTCTTGTATGGAAAAGACATTATCTCACACAGCAAACCTTAAGGAGTGTTTGGAGTGAGGAGCAGAGCTTGCCTTCACTTGCACTGCGGCTGGGATTATATATGAGACAATCTGTAAACGGAGATGCTTAGCTTTTGGGGTGTTGTCAGTAAAAGAGCTGCCTGCAAATACTTTTATATGGCTGTTAAACCTCTCTTGAAAACCAACAGGCTGTGTTAACAGAAACTTGATTAAAGCTAAAGCAGAAATTTTAAAGCTGTCTGAAGCTTCCCTCAGGCAATGAGACGATCTGCTGAATATGAACTATTTTTAAAGAATTCACTGGTTCTTTAGCCCATTGCTTTAGAGGCTAACAGCTCCCAAATTAAGGGGTGTAATTCTGTGAAGTGGGAGTTTAGACGAGTCCGTGTGTTTGATTAGCTGAGTGGTGAGTTTGTGTGTGTGTGTGTATTTGGGGGGTTAATTGCTACACTGGTATTTTTGTCTGTGTGCTGTCTGCAGGGGTTGTGGATATAATCTGTGATGGGAGGAGCCACACGCCACCCAGTTCCCATGTGGGTGCTGTCAGGCTTTTAGTTAGCACCCACTTAATCAAGTCAAGTCAGCTCCAAAAGGGGTTTGAAACCAGGTGAAGAGCAAAGGAGACTGTGTTCATGACTTACATGTAAAATTACTGCTCAAGGTGTCCCTTGATCAACAGACATGTATCTTCATCTGCAGGGTATTTGACTGAGGAGCCAAGAGTGATTAAAAAGGTCAAAGTTGATACAGCAGAACCACAGATGTCGACTTTTTTATTCCACGCATTCTTCTTTCTGGTCAAAACCTGGCACCTACAATGCAACTTGACCACCCACAATTAGGTCACAGATTTGGGTGTGCTATGTAAAAAGCAGCTAATGTAGCCTCGGGCGACAGATGTATCGTGAGTTCACTTCTTTCTAACTCCACACCCCCAGATTTTTTTCATTTTCAAACTTGCAGTCTTCAGAGCAAACTGACTCTGACTCAAATAATGTCACTTCAGGCAATTAATCACATTTCATGCCGCTCCCTCTGGAACCCCAAAGGGCTTTGAAGAAGTTTTTCTGTATAAATATGAAGTAATACGCCCAAAATGTGTAATCTGTCAATACAATCAATATTTTTGGGTTTTGGACATTTTGTGAACTAAATGATTCAACAAATAACAGAGAATGATATGATGAGAATGATAATGACAATAATTGTTAGTTATAGTCATACAGAAGATACTGTAAGATCAAGACGTCAAATGTGTCGAAAATCAAGATTTCACTGTTAAAGCACTCTCAAAAATAATACAAGTCATTGTTACACCACATCTTGTAAATAGTGCTTAGGTTAAATAAAGCTGCTCTCGTTAAAGATTGTATTTAATCAGGTATTCTCATTAAGATCAAGATCTTTTTTGCAAGATAGACTTGGGTACAGCAGAAGAATTAAGAGCAGTGATAAGACAAGCTAACGACACACAAGCGCGTTCAAGAAGCATCAGAAACAATCACATGTATCTCGAAAAAGGTCCAAAATTAAAAGGTTAAATTCATCCAATAGGATACTTTCACATTTTAAAGTTTCATATTGTCTGTGCTGGTTAATCAATGTATTGGACATCACATTTCTGCTTTCCTGCTACTTGCCACCAACTCAAAAATGCCATTTTTGTAATTCTGTTCCATTGAAGTTGAAGTAGCCAAAATGGCTTGGCCCACAGGCAGCCTATGTCCAGCATGCCAGGGTGACAAAATTACCCCAGCTGCATGACGTGATAGAACTGGCAGAAGAAACTGGTCTGATTCTGGCTGCTGATGCCAGCTCAAAACTTGACTTACTGTTGCTAAATGGATGCAATTCTTACTAAAAATCATCTCAAATCTCAAAACCTCTGGCAGCCATGCATGCAACATTATGCTGGCATTTGGGCCTGCATTGCAGAGACAAATTCTCTTAAAATTGCTATATAGTAAAAATTAAAAGTAACCATGGTGTTATTTTACACAGGTGGCCTACGAGCAGGAAGACTACTACCACTCAGTGCAGTGGTTGGAGGAGTCGGTGCGTCTCTTCAGGGGAACCGGAGGCGAGTGGAGCCCTGAGAATGAAGGGACTTTAGAGGATGCCCTGGATCACCTGGCCTTCTCTCACTTTAAAGTAGGGAGAAGGACATTTAGAAAAAAACAAAGAATGTAAGATGATTGATGGTTTGGACCGCTCTGAATTTCTCGTTTCTCGTTGTTTCAGACAGGAAACGTCTCCTACGCTCTGAGTCTATCTCAGGAGTTACTGCATTACGGTACATCTTTTAAGTCAAATTGTTTTTTACTGTTAATTCTTCCTGTGCTGCATAAACAGTCCCTGAAAAACCTTCTTCACAGGTTGTATCTTTGCTTCAGTGAACAGTGTGCCTTGTCTCCCTGACTGCACTTCATTTGTTTCTTCTCAGATCCAATGAATGGAAGAGTTTTGCAGAATGTTGAGAAATATGAGAAGCTGCTGGTCGCTGCTAGTCCACCCAGGGTCAGTGGGTTGAGGAGACCCACAACCAAACATGTAAGGACCAGGGACACTTATGAGAGACTCTGCCAGACCCAAGGCTCTCAGGTATTCATCACAATTAATCATTCTGGACGCATGCCGTGAGTTAGACAAATATATGGAAGGGATCAGGGAGATGTTAATACAACAACCAGAGTATTCTTAATCACAATCAAAAGTCAGAGGATCAGAAAAGTCTGTATCCTGATTCATCCTGTAGTTACTATGAAATGTCTTTAGCAATCCATACATCCATTAGTTGTTGAGATATTTCAGTCTGGACCAAGACTGAAAACTGTAAAATGGTTTGTGTTTCTGAGCTAATGATCTAATACTGCAAAACATATAACTGTATAATGCTCAAAATGGGCATTTTTTTATCCCCACAAAACTAAGATGTTTTCATTGTCATTTAAACATCTCCAAGTAATTAGTCAAATATTTGATAAAAATGCAGTTTCATCCATATTAAAGAGTTCATCGAGATCCAAGTTTGTGATGGGAGTTTCCTTGGCCATAAAAAGGCGTATGTGGGGACAGAACAATGCTAGGAGTAATTTGTGGTTGAAAAAGAAAGAGTTCCTGTTTTGATCTCGTTAATGGACTTCAGATGCCTGTTTCTCCTAACAGCCAATGCATTTTGAAAACCCCAGACTATTCTGTGACTACTTCACCAACGACAATCCTGGGCTGCTACTGCTGCCAGTAAGACGTGAAGTGTTGAGCCTGCAGCCATATGTGGTCCTCTACCACAACTTCATCACTGACACAGAAGCTGAAGATGTCAAGAGGATCGCCCAGCCAGGAGTAAGTGCCGGCGCTGTGCATTTTTATCATAACTTATGGGTGAAAAAAAAGATATGGTGTGTTTCCAATATGTCAGTTATTCCAATTCGGTCTTCAAGTTTTTTTCTTGGCAACAGCAAAAGTTCAAAAGAGTCTGTTCAGTTTGTTGAAATCAACAAACAGATGAATCATCGTAGAGAATCAAGTTAACATTTGGCTATTGCCATGTAAACACCCTGTACCTTAGTCCCACATTGAAGAATCAGGTCTTTTTGAACAGGACCAGGATCAGTGTTTTTTATTTGTCCATGTTCAGTTTGTTTAGAATATATTGTGTATTTGTTAGGATTGGCTCTGTTGGTATTACTTTAGGATGTTTCCTAACGCATTTTTATTTTCCTTTATCCCAGATGTTTGCTTTCCTGGAATTAAAAGTGTAATCAAATTGGCAGCCTTTGAGCAGGGCTAGGAAGTTGTCATTTCACTTAAAGTGCAATCTCAAATTGAGATATCTTCTATGGCTCCTGTCCTAAAGTGGACCTCAAACTTTCTTAAGTCCGCCTTTTATAGACCAACCCACAGGAAGTCACACAGTACAGTATATAAAAGTGCAACTACTGTTGTTCCATGACATGAGCTGTGGGTTAGCATGGACTCAGCAGTTTATTTCTGCTGACTGAAATAAGAACAATACTCACAAGACATCACTGGTCATCCACCACATCTTCATCACTGGCACTGTGTCTAATGTTTTCTTGCCCTCTGACTTGAAGGATCTAATAACATAGCTGTGTATTTATTTACTTGCAACTGAGAGTTTGTGGTCCTTGGACATTTACTCAAGTATTGTAATTAAGTATTTTCGTTTTATACAACTTTTAGTGTCACTCCACTACAGGGAAGACTGCCAGTATATAAAGTAGTTAAACTTAGCTCCACCTCGTAACAGTAGTACAGTACATTTTGCTCATTAAACTTTTCCGTGCTAATATGAATTCCTATCCAGAGGAATGGTGTCCGTCAAAAGGGATTATTTTTGTAAATATTACTTTTGCATATATTTCCTGGTAATGTGCTCTGCTGTGTGGTTCTCTGGCTGCTGGGGTCTAAGCCAACCGTGAACCTTTTCCTGATGGAAAGATCCTGGAAAGACCCTATGGAGGAAGAGTTGGTCTGCTTCCAAACATTTAGCACAGCGTAAAGGAATGAGGGATACATTACTATGAAAACTTGGCAGGGTGTCTCAAACTGTCCAAATGACCCTGCAGGGCTCCTCTGGTAAATATTCAGTCCTCTATCACTGAGCTTCAGCATTTATCTAACGCAAGTATCTAAAATGAAACTTTAATGAAAGCGGCTCACAGTATGCTGACTAAATAACTTTAGGGAATATTTGGTGGGCTAACTCAACTGCTGCCCTATAGTTTCTGTGAGGTTTTGGCATTGTTCAATGACTTTTCCATCCTTTGCTCAAATGGAAACCCACGTACTTATTTCATCATTATGTCAGCTTGTGGGTTGATTGAAAACAGGCCCAGGGTACAGTATTAGTTTGGAGCAGTGAGCAGCATTGGTTAACCATGACCATGGTTTACACTTTGTTCGTGCTGGAGAACCAACAAGAACACAAGTCTGTTTTGTGATTAACTGATGTGTGAAATAATTAGTTGACTTACTCTTGTTTTTTTTTTTTTTTGTATTTAACCTCTTTTGAAATGGTTTTTGTCAGTCCTTTAGAGTTGAATGACGTAATGTCTCTGGTGGTCATAAGGTACCTGGATGTTATCAGGAGTTTGAGCTGCAAAATTAACCAGGAACCAGGATTAACCAACTTCAAACTGTATAACATGAGCAGAGTGCATTGTGACGATTCTGCTGTCCAAATAAATCACAGAGGCTCAATTTTAAGAAAGGAATACTTGGTCCAAAACATCTGGATCCCCCAGACCCCCGTCTAGACTCAGAATTTGAGGTCCACTTTGAGGCAAAAGGAGACTTGAAACTATTATCCGTGGGAAAGTAGTGTATCTGCACATTGGTGAAATCTGTTCATCTCGGCATCCTTTTTGATGCTTTGCAAGTCGAGAATGATGATTTGTTATCTAAAGCGTGGCATTTTTGGATTATTTTGTCTGATCTGCTCTCAGTTTTCATTTTGGATACATCATTGGAGCATATTTTCGTGCTATTACTCAGACTTTGTCAGTGCTTGCAGATGGACATCAAAGCTTGGTTCCTGTAACAATCACAAACGTAAGATGCTGTTTTCTGTCTTTGCTAACAAGCTGACAAGGTCTGTGGTGGCAGCTGGAGAGAAACAAGCAACAGCAGACTATCGCATCAGCAAGAGGTACAAATTACCTACAATACCTTGTAACTTATAACAGTTTGTTTATGGTATGTTGTTTATTATCAGTTATTTAATTCATATTAGCATGCTTAGAGGGTTAGTCCTAGTGCAAATTGAATTCCACACATTTGCAGGAAAAATAACTTACTTAGTATGTAAATGATAGATACTTTTATAAATATGTCTTATTTCTAGTGCATGGCTGAAGGACTCAGCACACTCCATTGTTGGGAAGCTGGACCAGAGGATCTCTATGCTCACAGGTCTGAACGTGAAGCATCCATATGGCGAGTACCTCCAAGTGGTGAATTATGGGATTGGTGGCCATTATGAGCCTCACTTTGACCATGCTACAGTAAGTTGATTATTAGACCTGTTTAACAAATTGCAACACTTTTTATATTTCTGTTGACTTTGCATGTTGACTGTTGTTATATTTATAATGATTTACTGCTGCTTTCTATTGTCTGTTTGCATTTGCATGTAACCAGTCACCTTCAAGTCCCGTGTTCAAACTGAAAACTGGGAATCGAGTGGCAACCTTTATGATATACGTGAGTAAAGTCTTACTCTGACCATCTTCTGACCCTGTATGACCCAGAGCGCAGCCAGAGGTTCTTGGGCAGGTTCTTGGTTCCTGTTGGCTGATCCGAAGCCTAAATTAAAAACAAAGATGTCAGGCTCTTGCCACGAAAGCTGCAAGACTTTGGAACAACCTGCCTAGATCTGACCTCGGTGCCTAAATTACACTTTTATAGATGTTCTGTCATGCGGCAAACATAAACCAAACTCTATTTTCTGACTGTCTCTGACCTTCATTATACAGTCTGCTTCTATAATTTTGCCTTTGAATTTCTTATTTGTTCTTTTTCGTATGATTATCATTAAGAAACCAATGTGAAAATCTGACTAAAATTGGATCATGATAACAAAAAGAATGGCTTTTTGTGAGGCTTTGAAAACAGCGCAGCAGACTGATTGGTTTTTCATAACACGGGCACATAAAAACAAGACACAACTCTGAAGGAATGTCCTTTTCCACAGCTCAGCTCTGTCGATGCAGGTGGGTCCACAGCCTTCATCTACGCCAACTTCAGCGCTCCTGTCGTGGAGGTAAACACACCGTGCGGGTGTCTGAGATAAGCTAAAAGTAGCCTCTTTTGTCTTCATGTCATTTTTGCCTGGAGCTCCTCTCTCACATTCTCTGGTGCAGCTGTCAAAATGCCAAAAGGTCAGATCATAGCAACATCAGCCATGAGATTTTTTTAACCACAATACTGCTGTTGTATAGTTGAGCGTCAGTGGAGGTTGGAGCTGTTTTTGGGCTGATAAATGAGCTGCCGTGGAAGGTTTAACAGGCCATCCCTGGGGTTTAACCTTTCACCTTTCATTTTACTGACATCTCACTTCCTGGCTGTTTATACAGAAAATAACCGAAGCTGATAAACTGATCAAATGACTAATTAAATACTTAATTATGCTTGAAATTCAGGTGTGTCTGTTATTATACGATTAAAGATAAATTAGTAATACACAGAAAAATAACCTTGACACCTCTCTGTAACTGCAAGAACGCTCTCATTAACTGTTCTCTACCCACTTGTGACAGCATGTACATATGTGCCTGTCCATCTTTGTTACTCTGTTTTTGTAATCTGTTTAACTATTAACTGGGTATTGCTGTAAAAGAGCATTTACGCTCAGCCAACTTACCCTGTATAAACAAAGGTTAAGTAAATAATCATTTGATAACAGATTAGTGAGGATATTCTACTTTTCTGTTTTTTATATTAATCTGAATATCTTTGGATTTTTGACTGAAACAAAACAAGAGATTTGATGAAATCACCTTGGGCTTTAGGAAACTGTGATGGGCATTTTCACTGCTTTCTGATCTTGCATAGACCAAAAGATTCATTGATTAACCAGGAAAATAATTGTGAGATCAGCTGATAATGAAAATGGTTGTTGGTTGCAACTTTACTTTAGACCAAACCACTTTTCTAACTCATTAAAAGTGTTTTTTTCTTTTTCATATCACAGAAAGCCGCCATCTTCTGGTGGAATCTCCACAGAAATGGTCAAGGAGACGTAGACACCCTGCATGCTGGCTGCCCTGTGCTTATTGGGGACAAATGGGGTAAGACTCAGTGGATTCAGGGTATGATGTGATGATGCTGTCAACAGGAGCCAAGAAGTGATGTAAATATGGAAAAAAAGCAAGTCCCATGACTTTAGACTTTAGTTTTATTTTAAACATTGCATTAATATCACGTTGTTTCCCAGTGTTGCTGTTACACAGGAGCAACTGTTCAACAGCGAGGCCACATCTGTGCTGCGTTATGCATTTAGAGATGTTACAGAGTGCAGTTCAGACATTGAGGGCTCATCTTGGAAGCTAAACATCTGCTGCCAGTTGGCTTAGGCCATCAAACTCCCAATGCTGAAACATGTGCTAGGGACCCAGTTAAACTATCAGACAGACATTAATCATCACAAAGCAGCTGCAGAAGCATTTGGTGGCTGCGTTGTTTTTAGCAATCATATATATATATTATCAGAAATTAATGTTAAGGCTATACTTTGCCAGTGGTAGAAGAAGTATTCAGACCTTTGGTAAATCTGTCTGTAAATCTGTCTGTATGTTCCAGTGGCAAACAAATGGATCCATGAGTATGGCCAAGAGTTCCAACATCGCTGCAGCCTGAATCCTGAAGAGTGAGAGGGGTGGAGCATTAGCTGGGCCCCTTTGAGTACAAGAGCCAGCCTCTACAATTGAGAGGCACACTTAAAGGCGAAGAGAAGGAGGCAGCCAAAAAGTGAACACACAGGCAGGGAGGGTGAGAGCCATGAAGGGGGCAGCCTGCATCTGTGATTGGAGCTCCAGGCCCCAGGGAGCCTGGAGCATACAGCGGACACTTCTGCAGTGGACATGGATAGTACACCGCCGAGAGGAGTGGAGCTGTTGGCAATCGGCCCCCAGAGGCCAAATGCTCTCTTGCTCCTACTGGCCAGATTCTGCAGATGGAGAGAGGCCTCTGCCTTCACACACTGTGCTGGTTTCAGTTAACTGTGCAAGGCTGTTTACCTCCTGCTTGCTTAAAATCGTATATGTTATGCAGCTCTTTTCCTATGCTGGGCCCACTCAAGGGTCTGTCATTACTGTCAACACAGCTGAACTTTGTTTAGACTCTCAACACTTTATTTTCTTTTATTAAAATCTGAAAATGCCAAATTTACAAAGATGGGCTACTCAGTATGCCAGGATGAATGTGTATAAACTGATGCATAAGACATCTAGAATCTTCTGGGTTTGAACATTTGTTACTGTATGAGTGATACTACTTCTCTGAAATGTTAGCACCAGCAGATGCAGAACATGTGGTCTACAGGGTAGAAAAAAGTACTTTATGACTTATCTACAGAGATTTTGGTTAAAGTTCTTCTGTGTTCGGTCATCTCAGACCTCAGGACTCCAGTTCAGACTGGTGCTATGAGTCAATGGAACCAGTCATTATGAGTGTGCCTGTTTATTCCCAGCTGACTGAACGATGTGGTCATCACTGCCTGTGGGAGACGCTCTCAATTTGATATGATGTAATAAACTGTTTAATGGAACAAGTGAACCAGATCTCTCAGCCTCTTTTTGAGCTTCAGAGGCTGGTCATTAATCATGTTCATCTGCAAACCCAATAATTGTGAACCTGTCTGTTCCAAACTTCATGTCTGAACTCACACAACCAACACTGTCTGCATACCACTCAGATATCTCAGATGTCTAAGTAGGTCATAACCCTACTTAAAAAAGGCTGAGATGGGACATACATTTATTCAAATTCACTGTATGAGCTTGAGGAAACAGCACGCATCTCAATATGTGATTTTTTGGGACTTCCTGCTGCAGTGAAAGTGAAAAAGAGTCTAAGAACCTAACATCTGCTAATAACTTTTCTCTCCAGCTCACCACAGTGCACACAAACAGACAGACATTCAACGCACACAAACTAACACACACAAAATATAAGCACAGGCCATGTACTGGATACATGTTGCACATTCCAGGGTGTGCACTAAACAGCAGGACTTTTCCCTGTGAACTGATGAATAGGAAGACCCAGCTATTCTGAAGCTCTTTCCAATCTGACTGCTGATACTAATATGAGATTAGTATCATTAAAAACACTGTTTAGCTACATTTTGACTCAAAACATAAAGTATCAGTCCACAAACTTGTTTGTTTACAGAAAGTACACAATATTAGACCTACACTGATAGAAAAACATAGTCAGACTTATATTTTCACAGGACCATAAAAACCTCAAACCTCACTTTTCCTAGAGTTCCAAGGGCTTCATTCTGCACTCGTCCTATGCACCCTCGGTGGCCCTCACTGTTACCACAACAGACAGGGCTGCAGAGGTACTTGTTGCTAAGCAAGAACATAGTCCAAACTACCTAAAGCATGCATGACAGGATCACAGGTCAACCTCGAGATATTGTCAAGTACATACAGTAATTCTGCACATTAAAAGAGGATTTTTTTTTAAAAAAACACTTTGGGAACCTTCCTAACTTGTCAAAGAAATTAGCTAACTAGCTGATAGCTTTTTTATAGAGACAGTGAGTGAGTGACTGACAGAAAAAATGCCCAGCAAAACAGAAAAGAAAGTAAAGCAGAAATACAAGTTCAAGGAAGAAGGAAAATCATTACTTAGTCCTGTCAGTGAGCAGCTTTATCTCAGTAATGGAAAGATCAGTGCTTCCCTCTGCTGGTGATGTTAAAGAAGGCTGCGTAAAGGCAAAGAATGAGTGTGGCACTTTTATTGTAACAAATTAAAGTTTCACAACAGTTTTTTTTTTATTTTTTTTATCAGTTTTATTTAATTGGGTGAAACTGGATTCATCTGCAAAGCTGTGTGCTATAATTTTATTACACAATGTGGGCAAGCATAACACTGGAATTTTTAAAAGCATTATTTAATGGAATTGCATATATGCTTTATTGTTTTATGGGAGTTTTAACTGTTTTATTTTATTTCCTAATTACTCCCCTTGCCAACAAATGTGCCAATAATATGTACTTTAGAGTAAAAATAACAGCAAATAAGTGTTTTGTAGTTATGGCTCAGAATTGAACTATACTGTATATGCTGTAGCTTATAGTTTAAATAAATAGGGGATAGTTACAGTAATTGGTTATTTAAACAACCATATTATTCATGAACTGATTAATTGCTGTAGGCCTATAATATGAATGTCTATTATATTATGAATTGATTTAGATGAAATTTGGGTCAGGAGAGTGGTAATTAATTACATTCACTCAAGTACTTGAGTACAATTTTGAGGTACATGTGGGGTGCTACTTGAGTATTTTCCAATTTACGTCACGACACCCCGTTATGTTTATTTGACGCCTATAGCGGCCATTCAATGAAGAGAAAGTACTCCATTCCAACAACACAATAAACTCGGTTTCCCAGAATGCTTCTGTGCGTGGAAGCGGCAGCGGAGGCGGGACAAAAGTTATCGGTCGTACTTTGTTGCTCGGGATACAGTTTTGCGCGCTGCCGTTTGTATGTGTGTACGTATGTATGTGTGCATGTGAAGCTCAAGCAGTTCTATTAAACGGATTATTAGTTAGACAGAGTGGGATAAAATCATGCCTTCTGACGGTTCAGACACTGTTTTGACCAGGCCGTCGTTCACCACCCGCATTTACTGAGGGATGAAGAGCAGAAAACAGAGAGCGGTCAAAGCTGGAAGCATCAAAAGGAAAGGTAAACTGCTGTTAGCCCAGCTAGCTGCTAATGCTAATGTTAAGTAGCTGTCACTGCCACATAAGCCTCATATGTTGGCTGTTTTGGTTATGTTGTTCAGAAAATTTGCTCTCGCTCTCTCTCGGTTTGTGTTGCTGTTTTTGCCGATGTAGTCAACGTTGTTTATGTTCCTTACTTTTAATGCTGTTGTCTTGTAATGCGGTTTTTGCTAAAGGATGCTGAAAACCGACGTATAACCTCCTTTTTGTCATAAATAAAATACTTTTTAAAGTTTACCTTGGCCTAAAGGGCCCTCCCTCATTTTATCTATCCTAATTCTTTTATTTTAGAGAGCATTGAATTTCTTGCAAAGCTGCAAGGATGAAAAATAAACTCAAACATTTTTAAATTCTAGCTTAATTTTTCTTTCATCTTTAAGTCTCTACTTTATTAGTACGGTACAGTAGTAAACAGCAGTAAACAGCAGTAAACATACTTGTGAGCCTGTGCACCTAAAACCACATGTAAACTTGGATAGTCATATAAATTCATCAAGCACTTCAGTAGGAACACCTGTACACCTGCTTATTCATGGAATTATCTAATCAGCTAATCATGTTGCAGCCGTGTAATGCATAAAAGCATTGGGTCAGGATCTTCAGTTAATGTTCACATTAAACATCAGAATGGAGAAGTATTTGAAGTTAAGACATCTAAACGTGTAGAACAATCCCTGAAAATTTCAAGCATGTAGCATGAATAGTTCAACAACAATAATGACTTGTGGGACTTTGCTCAAAAAGAGGCTGAGAGATCTGGTTCACTTGTTGCATTAAACAGTTTATTACATCATATCAATCTGCAGTTTTTTAGCAACACTTGCTTTTATTAGGCTCATGACCCATTTTTTTAAAGCCTCTATATCTCCAAAACTAAAGAAGGTACAAGCCGGAAATTTTGCACTCTAGTTGTTGGGTACAGTGATATTATGTATATATTAAATATGAAGCAAATCCAAGATGGTCAGTCGGGAGGCCTCTGTTGATTTTACATGGAATGACCCTGGTTGATAATGGTTGAAACTGCACCATATTAACAAAAATATTTCCAGATATCTGTATATCACAAAATAGCCATTGTCTGCAAAATCACACAAAAAAGATTTTAGCAACTTACTTTGTTAGTTTTTTATGTTCATGTAAGACATGCTGAGATCATGTGTTCTGCAGGAAGTCAATAAACAATATTAAAACAATACTCAGCTGAGTGAACAGTACAGACTGTTATACCAGCCAACATGGAGCTAAAACTTGCAGCAAATACCATTCTTACCTGTTCCATTATATGGACACTTTTGACATTCCTATTTACTGTGTATGCATTTTTGTCTTGCCTTTTACCAAATAACTCTTTTGCAGTCTGCAGTGATGTGTCCCCCTCCACCAGCCTTCCTCCTCTGGTCGAGGGCCAGCTGAGATGCTTTCTGCGGGTGACGATAAACCGGGTGTTATGGACAGTCCGCAAGCCCCCGTCTGCAACGTTCGTCCGGCTTCGCTGGTGGGGAGAGTCATCCAATGGGACACACTTCTTTCCAAGAGATGGATCACAACTCTCACAGAAGACCATCAAGACCACAACTCGCTTCGCCATCCGATGCGGGCCAAAGCAGTTCACCTCATATCTTACAGGTAACTAAGAAGATTAAGCTATGTTTGAGTTGGCTATGCTGCAAACAGATATTTTAAAATTTACAACTAATCTGTTGTTCGTTAACAGATATGGGCTCATTGGTACTGGAAGTTCTGACAAAATCGGATCATTTGCCAATTGCGCGGGCTGAGGTCGCAGGCATCTCCCATATCTCTCTGTCACACCCCATTAGTGGATTTTACACCCTTGTATCTCCAACATCTGAAAAACTGGGGGAGCTACAGGTGAGTGGAAATACAAATTCACTGCCTTTGTGGAAAAGCACCTGCCATCCAACTACTTATGTGTAGAACTGACTGACTTGATGACCAATGCAAAGATTAGGAACTCTGTGGTTAATCAGTGTAAGCCCATGCATTTGTAGTGGTTATCATGGTAATCAGTAATACAATGTGTTAAACACATTTAAGAAAGTCTACACATCTAAAATCTCATATTTTAGCCGTGTTTCTCAACATACTGTTGCTGTGTGAAGCTTTTACTGTGAGTTTACAGAATGTTACAAAACATTATTTACGTCAGTTTTTTAGGTCTTCATTATACAAAAAATATAAAAAACACTCATTGGAATCATGTTTTACTTGCAGAATTATGGTGGATTAGATTTCAACTAGTGCTAGCCCAGTCTGCAATATGGAGGTAGCATAATAAAACTTAACCTAAAGACACAATATGTATATGCTGAAGTGCCTTAAACAAAGACAAAAAATCTCTACCAACTGCAGGGCTGCTGTTTTGTAGCTAACTGTCACTTCACTGCGTAGGGACAAAAAGAAATCCTAATACTTAACGGCACAAGAAACTAAGAAGTTGGATGTGGATGAATTGTCTTTGACTAGCCTGTAAACATTTTTGTGTCCATAATTATATCTGTAAAGAGTTCAGGGGGGATTCAGGCATTTTTTGACTCATGAGTGTCTGTTATCACCACATCTGGCCCTTGTAATCATTTAAAATTGTGGCATTGACAAACAAACCATTGATATCCCCAGAGATAATTGGATGGTTATCAAAGTTTTATTAAACAGCCATTCATTTTTTCAAGGTGTTATAATGTTGTACCTGCAGTAGTAAATAACAATGAACATTCATAATAATGTATTGCCATCACCAGTTGTGTTGGCACTCTGAGGACCGTCCACATTTTACCTTATTTTGTTTTTACTCCCTCAGGTTTCACTTACTTTAGAGCCCCTCACTGAAGCCTATGACAGCAGCAGCTCAGGTCCCACCACAGACATCAGTGTTGAAGTACCACAAGTTGCCACACTGACTGTGCCCTCACAGCTCAGACCACTCTCTGGTCGGAGTGGGAAAGAATCAGTTAGGAGCAGCAGTGGAAATACACCAAGGTTTGAAGTAGTTGATGTAATGTCATTGCTATTCATAATCAAATGCCTCAGAGCTCACCAGTCATAAGTTTAAATTTGAGTATAATGATCTATTTGCATGTATGGTTTTAATATTTGCAGAGGGAAAGACCATTTATATTTCCAAAATGCCCAGAAAGAAGAAGGCAAAGAAGAGTCACTCGAGAATCAGATGCCAGTAAAAAACAGATCTCAGAACAGCCAAACAGTCATGAATCCTTCAAGTCAGGAGCCTTGTGGACCAACAACCAATGATATCCTCTCAGGTTGGTTGTAGTATTACACATCAGATGTACTTGAATACAAATGCAAAAATTTGACACTTTCTCAACTAATATTTGACATTATCTTTCATCTCAGTTATTTTAGAGCGTGGGAACAAGCTTAGAAATGCTATGGTGGTATCAGCTTTGACATGTGACACGGATTCTGCTCCAGCTCTGAAAGATACTCCGCTGCCTCTCCCAAAGGACAACATCCTACCACCTTCCACGTTAGTGTTTCAGATGCTTGTAAAATATATAAATAAACACATTTTTTTAATATATAAATTTAAAAGTCAATTCAAGTTTCAAGTAAATTTATTTCAAATCACAACAGACGTTATCTTAAGGGAATTTTCATATGGAGGAAATCTAGAACCCATATGAAATCCCATGTTTATAATATTGATTACAGAGACCCAACAATTTCCATCATGAGCAAGCGCTTGGCAACAATGAGAAGCAGAAACATCTAGAATAATGCAGTGGTTTTCAGAAAGAAACATTGACTATATTGTATATACTAGGTGTAATTGATTTATATAAGGCTGCCCTGCCAGTGGTAGAATGCTAACAGGTATAAGGCCTGAAGTTGTGAAAGAATAATGAGCTAACTGAAAATTAAGGCATAAAGATGAATTTTAAGTTTGGACTTGAAGGCAGGAGGAAGGTTGTTCCTGAGGAAGGGGGCCTGATGGGAAAAGACTGCAGCCAGTAGATGTCTTTTTAACTCTAGAGACAGACAGGAGCCCTGCATTCTGGGAACGGAAAGAACAAGATTGAATCTAAGGTTGAAACTTTATAGTGCAGAGTTTATTATACTTAAAATTCTGTTTCTTCAGGCCTTTTCCTTCTCATTCTGGGATGTTTCTTCAAAATATTCTTCATGATGATTCAACTCTAAAACACTCTGATGTTGCTGTAGTCTCAGACTGTGGCTTAGACTGTGCTGCTGACATGGACAAAAGAGCTGTAGATCTTCTCCTTGGCAGGTACCTATGTGTACATTTATTTCCAAATTTGATCGAAAATGAAAGCAGTTTTTTTTTCTCCAAGACTTGTGTTCCTCATCTTTTTTTTTAGCTTAAACACATCTCCTCTGCCTCTCTGGGATGGAGAGGACTTCTTCCCTGAATCTCTGTCTGGCCACAGCAGCATTTGCGAGGATAGTGAGCTCAATGATCCACAATACGATCAGAGCTTACTGGAAAATCTGTTCTACAAAACTCCTGTAAGTAGAAGATTTTCTGCTGATTGTCAGGGAAAAACACATGCTTCATATGTGATATCAGTCAGTTTACGTGACTGACAAGCAGAATGGTCTTTAAAGTCATTATTGTCTTCTTTCAGATGCCAGATACCAGACAGGATGACACAGAGGCAGAGTCCTTGAGTAAAAATCAGCCAAAACAGCTGACATGCTCTCCGCCCAAGATTAGTGAAGGGTAAGGGCTTTTATGTGCTTCTTAATCCATGCCGCTTGGACTGTAAAAAGCTCCTTTCAGAGGGGTGACAGGTGTTTTTTTAATTTTTTTTATCTTTACATCTATTATAGGTAGCCAAAAAACATTTAATGACGTGCACTTTTTATTAAAGGACATGTCTTCTCCTTAAAGAAATTGATTAGGTTAATAAACCAATTGCACAGGATATATGGGATACGGATAGCATAAAGTAAACATAAACAAAACATACAGTGTACATATATATACAGAATAAACTTTTTGTTCTATGAAAGACAATTGTTCATTGTATTTTCAACGTGTCCAGTCCAAATGTAGAGCATCGGCGCTCTCCAGATGCTGGTGGTATTGTTCCTGGCCTGAGCAAGGAGCAGTTGACTTCGCTCAGTTCAATCCGATTGGCGAGAGTGACCATCGACTCCCTGACTGTACCTACAGGCAGCACAGCCACCACACCCAGAAAGTCAACTAGTAAAGGGAAACCTCCTCGACCATTAACTGGCAAAAAATGGTAGGCAAACATATAACATTACATTGATCTGATTTAAAAATATCATTGATATTATAACTAACAAAAGCCTGGCACATCTCCTCTCTTTCTTTTTTTTCAGCACTTATTTTGTTGAATACGTGTTCCCGACGGCATCCACTTCCAGTCGACATGATCGTGATAAAGCTGCAGATGGCGAGGTGACCAGAGCTGTTTCCAGTAAAGTAACAAAAGGAGGTATGACCTGCTAGAATATGCTTTTATGAAACCCACCCAGGTGAAAAACACTTGTCTTTGTAAGTCTGTGTGTCTGGTTTGTGACTGCATCTGACATACATTCTTTTGTTGTTTTCAAGCGGTGAAGTTCCTCCAGCACTTTGTGTTTCCTGTCCACCTCAGCACAGCAGCAGTTAAACAGTGGTGGAAAACTGATCTTGTTTTCAAGATTTATTCACGAAAGAGTGACCAAAAGAAGGTGAGTAGCTTTGGACTAAACATTACTCATTTGATTGGTTAAATGAGTAAAAGTGGTTGTTTAAGGGTGCGTAAATTTGGGTCTATTAAATTTAGTGGTTAGAAGTTGTTGTGGGAGTTGTAGAGTAAATTATAATGTTCATCTGTTTGCACAACACAAACCTATTACTGCAGCTTTAATATAATATTAGTGTCATTTACCTTTAGTGGACGCTAAAGGTAAGCGCTTTGCTTTCTTTTGAAAAGTATTTATTTAAAGTATTATTATATTTCTGACGTGCAATGTCATTTACCTCTGCTAAAAATAAGGCTGCGATTAAAGTGATTGCTGTGTGGAATAATTATTCTATAAATAAATAATTTCTCTTTTCTGTTAAATGCTCAGAAACAGATCTGCATGTAATAATACTCATCTCTATATGAACTAATGACCTGTTGAACTGTTTTACCTTCTCTTGTTGCAGCCGGTTCCCATCGGTAAAGCGGTTTACCCACTGCGTTGTCTGCTGCAGAGCAAGCAACTGAGTCAGTCTGTCGTCTTACCTGTGCAGAGCCTGGAAGGAAACAGGGAAATACAGGAGAGTGGACCTCTTGTGGTAATATACTGTTTTTTATCCCAGTGATTAATGTTTGCAAGCCTGATACTTGTGGCGGTCATAGAGGTCATGTTATTTTTTTCAGGTGTCATTAGAACTTGCAACAGACGGCAAAGATTTCTCCTCTGGAAAAAGCAAAAGCAAGCTGGCTTGGAGAGACACATCACCTTCACAGGCTGCACTCAGTCCACAGAGAGAGAACAGCTCTACATCTCAACCTGTTCGAACTGGGAGAGAGGAGTTACCTGCTCACTCTTCAGAAGTCTCCAGACTAAATGTTTGGAGTCCTCAGAAACCCTCCAAAGAACCCACTCCTCATCTCGGCCTCCACATATCTCCTCATAAATCATGGCAGCAGGTGGAAGAGGACCCTGAGGTCCTGCTGCATACCTTACTCATGGTGCCAGATGGAAAGAACTTCAGCTGTGGGCCCTTGCAGGCTCCAAATGTGTACTTGAATTGTAAACTGTTTTGGTGTGATGAGATGGCGAGATCTGTTGTCAGCTGGGGTCAGGCAAACCCTTCTTTCAACTTTGTTCAGGTTAGTCCAAAAGGTTGCGTCTTCTATCTAAAAGTTTAAATCAAGCTAAAGCGAGCCAATGTGATTTCAGTATCCTATTGACCCACAAGACCTTTTCGCCATCCTTTGTGTTAGGTGACTCCTGTGGCCTTAACAACTAAGCTGCTGGAGCGGATGAAGAATAATGTGATGGTAATTGAAGTGTGGCAGAAAAAAGGAAGCTCGGGGCAGGATCGACTCCTGGGCCTCGTTAAATTACCTCTTCACCAGTTCTACATGTCATTTAGGTAAGTCAAGGAAAGACAATACATTTTCACCACAAAATTATACACAGGTATTATACAGAAAGAGGCTGCTTTAATTCATTTAATATGAGATTTCCCTTGTGGAAACAAGTAGTCAAAGGTATTGGAGACTTGTTGCATAAACCACTGCCAGAATCTCCCCAGCTGTGCTTTTTAGGAGACAGCCCTCTTCTACCACCAGACATATCCAAACAAACATTAGAACTTGCACTGGCAGTCTTTATTAGAGCTTCAAGGATTGTTCTCTGCCATTGGAAGACTCAGTCTGTTTTTGCTGAATGGTTAAATTGAATGATATTTGTCCCATCGCAAGGAATAATAATTACCAAGGGAAGTTTGGTCTCAATTTTTTTTTTTTTTTTTACTGATTTCACTTATTTTCCTTGGATTAGCTACTATATATGCTGAGATTTGTTTTGTTTTGCCATGTTTTTTTTGTTACCAGTTTCTTTTATTTTGGAAAATGTAATAAAGAACTTCAATAGCAAAAAAAACATAAACCAAACCTGCCCTCTTGGGTGCGCTGTGGTATACCTGCTCCACAGAATATGTTGTAAATGTCACAACCTTCTATAAACTGTCATAGTGAGGCTGCATGTGAAACCAGTAACACTGCTCTCTTCATGTTTCTCTCCTCCAGGGATCCAAAGATCACCCACCTTCTTCTCCAGGCGCAGTACCCTGTTTTAGGGGTGGACTGCTACATGCCCGTCATTGATGTATTCTCAGGAAGTTGTAAAGGAAACCTTAGGGTTGTTTTGGCTATTGGAGGATCAGAGCAGATAGTTGCCCTCCAGCGCACGAGGGATGAAGAATATGACTCTTCGTCTCATCTTGTGAAACCAGTTCATCTGCTTGATTACCAGCCACATTCGCAAACAAAGGTCAGTGTTAAGAAAGTTGCACCTTTCAACCAGTGCATATCTTCTTTCTTTCCCCAGTGAGTGGACATGGATAAGAATACACACTGAGATTGCTGACAAGATAAACACTTGTTTCTCCCTCAGGTGATGGCGCCACAGGAGGAGACTATGAGAGAACATCTGTTTGTGATAAGAGTGGAGAAGGTAAATGGGCTGACACCTCTACAGTCTACAGTGTGGGGTGAAGCTGACTGCTACGTCCAGTACAGTTTCCCCTGTCAAGACAGTGACCCTGCTGCAACAGTGGACCAGAACCTCATAGAGAGTAGTAAGGCCATTTCAGTATATAAAAATGTACTCAAATCTCCTGAGAAGTCTTTCTTCCCTCTGCATTACTCTAACCTTCGTCTCATCACCAACAGGTGTGAATCTGAAGCCATTTCGTACCACCACCACTCTCTGTGTGCCTGACCCAGCGTTTGGCCACACTGAGACTCATGTGCTTCTGGTTCCTGAAGGAGTGCCTGTCCAGAGGTTGCTGCTCAGCTCTCTTTCCAGTCAACGCCTGAGCAGTGGAGGAGGCATCCAGTTTGAAGTGTGGTGCAGGTTTGTGGTTGCTAACCTTCTGAACCATCTAAATATAACTTGAACTTGAAGGGCAAACCACTGTTGCTGATGTATACCCCTTAAAAATATATTTTCAACCTGAAGCTACATTAGATACATGGAAACCCTAACCCTAACCCTCCCTGGGCTGAAGAAAAACAACTGGTTTCTTTTTCAGAAACACCACACAAATAAATGTTTTTGTGAGCTAGCAAAACGGTTTGTAGTCCGTTCTCCTTGCTGCATTTGTCACCATCTTGTAAATGAAAGGATGTAAACATTACACTTTTATTTGGGGTATGAATTCATGACAATGGCTGATAATACACGGTTCATCTATTGCGTCACTGCTTGATGCAACACTGTCAGTGTTAACAGTGATATTAATTTTGATTGTAATTTAATAGATTACAATTTTAGAATATTTGTATTAATACATGCTTGTTTTTTAATGATTAATATATCTCTGCAGATATTATTATCCAAATGTCAGAGATCAGCTTGTGGCCAAAGGACTGCTTCCGTTGTCCAAGCTCTGTGCCCTGGTCACCATGCAGAGACAACATCCTAATGAGGCCCAAATGTTCTCCCTACCACTGATTCCAAGGACAGATGGTCCCACAGGACATCAGCCCCAGCCCTCAGGTATACAGACATACAGAACAACGATATTATCAAACTGTACGGACACATATATGGCATCCTTAATGTTGTGACCGATCTGTTTTTTTCTCAGGCCTACTAGATGTTTGCATCCGGTACAAGAATCGCCCTGTGAGACCTGAAGGACAGACTGGTAGAGGAGCTGCCTCTCGTGTTGTCACACTTGTGATTCAAGTGCACAGAGCATCAGGTCTGCAGGCAGCATCAAGGTACATCACGATCACCTTTTTTTTTTTCTGAATGGAAACTATGAAGTATTAAATATAACATTTTGTCTGGAACGCTTCTGCTAAAACATCTGTCCCAGGCATAATACAAAGTTGCTGGAAAAAGACATTGCTGTTGGATTTTCATCTGTAAGTTTTAAGACCGACAATGAAATTTCAGCTCCTTTAACTGGTCTGATGACAAGTGTCTCAGCAGCAAAAATATCAAAAATTCACTGCATCAGACTGAAAGTATATGATCTTGTGTTGCAGGGTGTTATCAGAACAAGATGATAGATTCAGCTACTTTGCTGGTGTGGGGGTGAACACATATGTCACAGTCCAGCTCTCCTTCTTGCCTGAGAGCGAGAGGAGGTGTACCCGCATAGCTGCCAGGACCTTCTGCCCTGAGTTTGACCACCACATGGAGGTGTCCTGTGATCTGCTGGTTCAGAGGAGCAGCGGAGAAACCTGCAGCCTAGCTGAGCAGCTGGAAGAAGCTTCTGCTGTCTTTACTGTTTGGAACAAAGACAGTCGCAAAGGTTTAAGAGAGCTTATTATGCCCTATTCAGTACTGTTGATGAAAATAGTGACATTTAACATGTATAATTTAAATTTTTGACAGCAAGTTTGATTTTTTACTATTCCTATTCAAATATACCTGAGGCCATCAGTTGATTAGTCGCTGAAAGACAACTTGATAACCAGTTCATTGTTTAGCAATTAGTTAGTTAAAAATGCCAAATTTCCATTGCTCTCTCAAATGTGAATATTTGCAAGTTTTCTTAGACTTCTGTGTTCTGTGATGTTTAGAAAAAACAAGCAATTTAAAAAATATTATTCGATAATATTCGATAATGAAAAAACTGTTGCTGTCCTGATTTTTACAGGATAAATTCAAATGAATATAAGTCTACATAGTTGGTATGTAATAAAGCTGTTTCAAGGATGGAAAATAAGTATTACATCTGGTCATTGGCATCATAGTATCAAGTTGTTCCACAATGTATTTTTGAATTTGTTCAGTATTTTTGATCGTATTTAGTTTTGAGTGCCATTCTCTGTGTCTTGTCTGTATTACTCGTAATTTATATTGTGCTGTTTGTTGCAGCAGTGAATGTTTCCAAGCCTAAAGATGTGGTGTTGGGCACAGTGAAGATACCACTAGTTGATCTCATCCATAGAAGAACAGGTATGTTGCACTCTTAGGTACTGCTGGACCAGGTCCAATTTCTGATAAACTCATACTATTATATTATTTATTATTATTATTATTATATATAATAATATATAATTATATATTTTTATATATATATATATAATTGTGTGTGTGTGTTGTTATTTTTTTTTTTCTTTTTTGAAATTTAAAGGTGTTTCTGGCTGGTTTGGAGTTTATATACCTCAGGAAACAAATTCTTCTCAGCAACAGCACATCTTGGTTGGGGGTCTAGAGATCTCCGTCAACTTTGCCCACCACTCAGACAGAGAAAGAGTCATTAAAGCTGCTCGGGGTTTGGGCTGGGTAATGGGCCAGAGTCAATATGAAATGCAGGATGACGAAGAAGCCTGGCAAGAAAGCACGAAGAAACTCTCTCTTACTTTTTCAATGCCTAGAGCATGGATACCAGTCCACTGTTTGCTTCTTCCGGGCCACAGTGAGCTTCAGCGCTCTACCTATTGCTACTTCAGGTACAAGTTTTATGACCAGGAAGCCTTCTGCTCTCCCATGAAACACCCGTCTGTCGTGGAGGGCAAGGACGGCCAGGCCACATTGAGTTTTGAAGGAAGTAGAACTTTGGAACTGAGTAGGACTCAACCTTTAATGTGGTATCTACGAGAGGAGAGGCTGGAGGTGCAGGTGTGGGTCGCCTTCAAGAAGGACAAAACCAGAAGACCCACTGACACAGATCGGCTGGTTGGCTCAGCATTTGTTGATCTGTGCTCCCTTGCAAAGAAGCCTAAGCAAAAGCTGACTCTCAGTGGTGAGAAACTATTACTATAACTGTGTTATAAGATGATAATTGCTGTAGTCAAATTATGGCTGTATTTCTGTGTGTTATCATGGTTTTGTGATTTCACAGGCGTGTACCCGCTGTTTAGGCGCTCTGCAGCAGATCTACAAGGGGCTGCTCTGAGGGTGCACATCACCCTGACTGCAGATTCTGTCCCTGGGGAGGCATCTGCTGGAGCTGACACCCAGATGGACTCTGACTACCAGGGGGAACTCTTATCAGAAGAGGTGGAAACAGGAGATCGACCCCCCTCGCCCACTACACTCAAAACATGCACACCAAGCAGACTCAAGAATAAATCTTCCAGAACCACTCCAGACATCACATCTGTGCAGCATACAGAAATGAGCATGGATGAATCTTTCCCTGTGACTGTCACGGTAGACCGGGCTATGCACCTGAATCTGAAAGGTGAGCCTTTTAATCCGAGATTTATTATTTTTTTCATGTTTCTTTTTTTACATGAAATAAAACGTATACCTCTTTGGCAGGCTGTCCTCTGGCAGAGCGCAGTGAAGGGACACCATGCTGCTGTGTTTCATATGTCACTGCTGATTCTGCTGAACCAGTGTCCACAGCTGTCATAGCCAACACTGACTGCCCTGTGTGGGACCATCAACATGAGTGCAGGTCGAGTTACATAACACACATTAACTTAAATCTTTGTAACGTAGAGTACACTGAAACAATATCAGTCTGATGTTTTATTTCAAATTTCCAGGCTTTCAAAGCAGATACTTGTTGAGCCACAACAATCTCTCGTGTTCAAAGTCTGGCACAAAGGAGGTACAGGACGCAGTTTAAATTCATGATTTGTGTTACATTGATCTGTGATTGTTTTCATACATTAATTCACTTTTGGGTTGTTTTGCTTCCATAGAAATAGAAAGGGTACTTGGATTTGCCTCTGTAGACCTGTCCCCTTTACTCTGTGGGTTCCAGTCGGTGTGTGGTTGGTACAACATCACAGACTTCAGTGGTCAGTGTCACGGCCAGCTCAAAGTGTCTGTCACTCCACTAAAGGGGGTCCAAGATCTCCGAGGAAAGAGAAAAACTGTGAATGAAGAAGCTGCCAAAAACTCACCGGTGAGAAATTATTCATAGATACAGAAAAAATAACATCAAAAAAGTGTCTAATTATTAAAGATTAAACATGATGAATGTGTTTGATGATCAGGCTTTATTTCAGGCCCTTCCTCTCAGCTATCATACCACAGCCACCTACAGTAGCTTCCCCTGTCACATCAGCCGCTACCCTGAGCAGAAGATCTCATCACCTGACCACACAAACAGACTGTTCCCTGAAAGGTTTGCGACACACCTTTTAATTCACCCAAAATGTAGCCACACACTGTCCACCGCTGTATTTATTTGTCATCTTTACAACTGTTCAGGTGCAGTGAGGGTGACCGTCATTTTGAGCACATGGACAAAGTACGTCTTTACCATCAGAGTCTGCAGGAGCAAACAGCAGCTCACTCTGTCTGCAGCAGCAGTGCAAGTGACATAAATCCCTCCAGCTCATTCCTGTTTTCAGCACTCAGGTATTGGTCCTCAGACAGACAGACCGACATCATTGCCTTGTAGATTATATGCATTTTTTTTTTCATCCGAGCATTGACTGGGACTATTTGTTTTTACAGGAAAAAACTCAGCGAGCTCGACAACATCCAGAGATATTTCAGTCGTAAAATTTCCACTCCCATGTTCCCGTCTGTGACTGAGCAGGATTGTCACACCATACATGAGGAACAGAGGGAGTCTGAGACAGACACAACTCAGCTTCTTCTCAAGTCCAATCAATTAGTCGGAGAAGTCAACAATATCATTAGTGGTGAGCTGCTTGTTCATGAAGGGTGTTCACTTAATGTGTATGAAATTACCAGCCACATGCGACAAATTCAGCACCATTTTTTCCATCAATAGTCTTGAGTGAATATATCATTTGAGCATTTAAAATTTTACCATTTACAGTTCATTCTTGGCAGGTAAACTTTACCCAGCCTTGGCAGTTGACCCACAGTTCATTGTGGACACAGTCTACTGTTTAGCTTGCACACCGCTACCATAAAAGGAGGCATCACTGGTCCTCTTTGAGTCCTCTTAAGAAGGAATAATGGAATCAGGTCAACACTGCATTGCTGTCACTCAGAAAGTGCTCCTGCTATTTATATAGTAATATATATAATATATAGTATAATATATAATATAATAGATAGTGATATTAATTAAATGTTAATTTTGGGTAATTTTCTTGATTAATCAATTTATTGTTTTGTCTAGAGTTGCAATGATTAATCAATTCATCTATTAGTCGACGGACAACGGACAATTAACCTGCTTTTTCAACGGTGATGGAATAATCGTTACAGTAATTTTTAAAAATGTCAAATATTTGCTGTTTCTAGTTTCTTAAATATGAGGATTTGATGTTTTTCCTTGTGATTTTTTACCTTTTTACTGTAATTTTATAGCCAAGAAGATTTTTTTTTTTTTATTCTATTTAAATAAAAAAGAATCTTCTTGGCTAAAATCTTCACCGTCCTGTTCACACAGGCCTGCAAGAACACCACCTGGAAACGATTCCCTCCAACCCCCAGAGCCGCTCAACAACTTCCCCTGTTGTTGATAGGAACCTTCAAACTATCCCTGAGAGTATCTCCTGTCTACACAGAGCTTCAAATTCTTCCCAAGAAGACGTGTCTCCTCTGCACTCGCCTCTTCCAAAGATGTCTGAAGATTGTACAGACTCTGAGGCTGAGGAAGAAAAGCATGGACAAAACTACAAAGTTACTGAGTCTGAGCATGAAAAGGAAGAAAGAACAGATGATGATGAAGATGGAACAGACTGCATACGAAACGAGGGAAGTGATGATGAAGGGGAAGATGAAGATTATGAGGAGGTTGTGGTGAAGCCGAGGCATCTAAATGAGGTCACCTCTTTAACGGACAAAACCAGTCCCTGGACCAGCATCCTGTCAGACCCTGACATTGTTGCTTTGGAGAGCCTTGAGGCACCAGAGGAGCCGGACCTGAGCCAAGATGAGGACGAGAAGAGGCAGATGGTGAATCTGGAAACTCGTGACTCTAGTGGGAAACACAAATGTACCAGACAAGAGGAAAGTGACAGTTTTAATGGATCAGCAGGAGATGTTTCAGACACGGAGAGAGATGATGAAAGAACACAACAAGCTTTAGATCAGAGACGAGCAATATGGCCTCACAGCCCCAACAAGGGGTCAGGTGACACTAGACCATCACCCACTGTACAGCACACCACAGATCCCCCTGATGTTTCCTTGGATGATCAAGATTCACAGCTCCAATCGTATCCTTGATTGGTATTTATTGATGTGTTTCTGCCTGTCACATTAGTTTTTAATTTGATTCAGAAGCTCAGGTTAGATCAAAGATTCATGACAAAACTAGTTCAGTGTGTGAATTATCCATGGGGTCACTTCAACTGGAGTTTGTGGTGCTGTTGAATTGTATTTTATTTCACCACATTTATATCACCGAAGGTGGGCTAAATAACAGAAATAAGTCTCTGTACAACACAATACAGTTCAACAGCACCGCAAACTACATCCTCCAAAATGACTATACAGTTGCATCAACTCCTCTTAAAAAAAAAAAACTGAACTTTGTATCCTTTTGTGAAGTGAGGATTTGTTGCAGGACTTTCGTATAAGCCTGCATTAGTTTTAGTTAGGTGTTCCTAATAAACTGGAGTTTATATGATAATGATATATTTGTTAAATGTCAGTATTTTAAGTGAAATATAAATGGACTGAACAACTCTGATTGGGTTACTTTAGGCTGATGGCTTTTGCCATCTTCAAAGAGTGAAAGTCAACACTCAGTCGGTTCCAAATCCATTTTTGTATCTTTGACGTGCAGATTCAATTACAGGAACAGATGCAGGCAGCCACCCTCTGTCACTTATTCTTTGGGTGGCGTACACTACTGTGCAAAAGTTTCAGGCACTAAAAATAAAGTAAGGATGCTTTCAAAAATATTGCCATGAATAGTTTTTATTTTTCACTGAACTTCATACATTTATCAGAACCTGCCACAGTTCTTCTGTAGATTTAGGCTGTCTCACTGTCCCAGACTGACACCATGATGCTGCGATCAGCGCTCTGGGGCCCCAGACCATCTGTTGTAGGACTCTTTGTTCTTCTTGTCACTGAAGATAATTCTTTATATATTTGGGGTAGTTATGCTGCTGTAAAATTAATTTGTGAATCATCAGACACCTCCCTGGTTGTACTGTGTGATGGATGAGAATCTAAACATCCAAATCATCGTGTGTTAAGACAGAACAGTAGGCAAATTTTAGACAGTCCATTTACAGCCAACATCTGTACACAAACGGCATCGGCACACAGCGATCATATTTGCATGAATGACAGTTTTTTCAAATTGTAAAAATCATCTCTGATTGATTTTTAAAATGTCTTTTTTACCATTTACCAGTTTCTTCTCATGAATCTTTGATCTTAACTGGCCTGTATGATGCCATCATGCTTTCTATGAATGTTTTTTTTAACCTTTTACATTAAGCTGTGTCCCTGTGGTGGTCCCTAATTTCTTCCTCCCCTCTCACCAACTGGAGGCATCTATGAGAGCCATAAAATTAGCTCCTTCCTTCTCCCAGTCGTCCAGTGACCCAGTGAGTATTTGTCACCAACTCTTCCTTTGGCATTAACAATCCCTCTCTCCACCCCTTTTACTTTTCACTCCTATTTCATGGGAAATCTGAATGTTTTGGTATTATTTATAACTTTTGAATTCCATGCATTCCTGTTTGAAGAATTCATTAGTAATACTAATTTCTCCAAGAATTTTTTTGAGAAATTGGTAGTTCATTAAAATTTTATCCCACTGCCATGCAAAATCATCGCGTTATTAATAGATCACGTTGCACATGATGCATTCTGAACAGAAGCCAGTCAAGGATAGTGACAGTGTGTACCAACTTGAGTTCACTGTAATTTAACTCTCATTCATGCGGCATGGACAGGTTGAGGTCCACCCAGTGTTATATAATCTGATTTATACAGAAGTTTTTCAAATAGAAGCTGTACACACAGTTTTACCCTTGAAAATTTCACACAAATAAAAAATCATGTTGATGTAAACAGAAAAATGTTAATCTCAGTGCTACAAAAACTAAAAGAAAGACCTATTAGTGATATTGAAGTTAACTTTAGAGGATCAGATCACAACCTGCCAACAGCCTGACCACTGACCACATCACTGGAAATACTGAGTCGTCATTCCCAATGAAACAGTTTACAGTAAAGTGCTAATAATAATAAGTAATACAGAGGAATAGATTTTTATAGATTAGCTGAATTGTGTTGCTGTTCCAGGCTTTCCGTGTGTCCACTTTAAAACAGAGCTCCTAACAGAGAGGGAGAGTTAATTACACGGACACTTTACAGCTGCATTTCAAGTTTTTACACTCTTATATCATCACTGCAGCTCAAATAACATGATGTAACTTTGTTTTCAACAGGAGGTTAAATGTGCAGTTACAAAACAAAAAGGAATCGACCAATCAGGTACACAGCTAAAACAGCAAATCCAGTGAGCCTTGACTAAAACTAAATTTACTTACTCTAACTGTTTTCTGAAACATTTCCAATTTCATGAACTAGCATCTTGTAAATGTAGTTTATCCATCAAACACAAGGCAGCTGCTTAATCTAGTCATGAAGAATACAGGAATGCTTATCTAGTTCTGCTAAAAAAATAAATAAAAAAAAGTAGCAGCAATCTTCATCTGTTATAGTTACTCAGCCTGAAATATTTAATATTTGGAAATGACTTATAGTGTTTCTACAGCTTCTTATTCTATTCTAGTTATGCAGTTATTTTATTTCACTTTCTTGAATGTCAGTTTGCACTGTTACTATAACTACCACTAGTATCACTGTTGGAGCTCATTTCGTATTAAATACTTGATTCATGGTTCATAGAATGTCGCTTGTAATTAGCAACGCTGCCTCTTTCACATGAACGTGCTTGTGGCTGGATAGGTAAAGATAAACCCATAGGATAGATTAAACCTGAGTTGACAGAGCTGTTTAATAGCCAACCTATCCAGGATCACTGTTGTTAGGAAGTTGAAGCCGGGTCAACCTGGTGTTCATTCTTCCACTCTGCAGCAAATGTATCATCCGTCTACCTCTTATTCAGTCTCAATGCTGTGTTAATGGAGCAACGCTTGTTTTCCCCTGCCACACCTTCTTAGCTTTAGAACAGAAGTACAAAGTACTTTGAACAGTTTATAAGATCAAAAGAATAATGTGTTTGTATTTCATCTTTCACCTTCAGCTCAGTCTATTCAAAAACACTGCTGTGATATATTAAAGGTCTGAGGTGGCCATTTTATTGCAAGAACAAAACACTCCCCTTTGCCCTGAATATTAACCCCATCCTTATCAGTGAGTCAGGGCTCAGGTGTCTGTGCTGATCAAACAGTTACACAATAAAACCTGACAACAGGTGTTAAAAAATCCAACATCATGAGTTAAACTTAATTTAACTTAATTGAAATAAATATAAGCATATAAGATAACCGATACACTGTCAAATAAAAGCATCAGGTCCAAATAAAAATATGAATACAACAATAAAAAATCTGTCAACACAAAAATAAAAATATGAAACATGATCATGGCCCAAGATTTTCAGTAATATTACATGTCTTTCATGTCTTTACCCTTTCATTTCATCTCAAGTAGATATTTTGCACATTTCTATCACATTTCAGCCATTACAGATATTTTATGTTCTTATGCAGTTTGACAGTTGTCTTTATCTGTTTTGTTGTTTATATGTACTGTCATTAGCTTTTCACTGGTTAAATAAAGGGAAATAATAATAATGATAATAATAAGGAGGAGGATGATGATGATGATGATGATAATAATAATAATAATAATAATACATTCTGTATACCAGTGCCACATGAGCATATATGTTGTTCAGGTGATCTACAGTGGCTTCAGAAAATATTCAGATTCCTTCACTTCTTGTACAGATAAATGGATTACATTTACTCTTATTGGCAAATAATTCTACTCGCAATGTTTCATAATTACAAAGTGAAAGATGTTTTTTAAATTTTATGCGGTTTTTAAAATTCAGAAACTAAAATATACAGAAGTATTCAAGCTCCAAACGGTGCTCGGGTGTGTACTGTTTGCTTGAGTGTCCCTGAAAAGTCTCTACAACTTGACTGAGTTCACCTGTGGCAAATCTGCATTTCCCGAGTCGGAAAAACTGTTCACGTCAGCCTCTTAACCTTAATTCAGAGTCGGAAATATTGGAAATTTCTGACACTGATGATATCTTTGTCTTGGCAAAAAGCACTACAGATATGTCAACAAACTGTTGACAGGATGGCTGGAAGTGCTGTATCCTTATATTTTTAGTCACTGTGTCACTTGACTCTACTTCATACTGCACTGCACAGAAAAAGAAACTTTACAGTATGAAAAACTCAAAAAGCACAGTAACATATCCACACAGTCTTTACCTACAGTCATCTGTGATGTGTGCGTCAGACAGTTCGACTGGCTGACTTCCAGTCAGCTGCAGAGATAGTGTTTCTGCGTCACACTGGTGTTAATGGATCCTGTTTTGAAGGAGTGTGTGGAGAGAGCTGGACTTGTTATGCCTCATAGTATGAACCTGGAGGTGAATGACTCTGAACACCGTGCACTGTGTACTACAGACTGACAAGCCTAACAAGCCTGTTTGACAATCTTTATGAATGTTTACCCAAAGAAAGCCTTGTGTCAATGAGTGGTGCATTGCCATGCTTTATTGTTCTTTGATTAATTTGTCTGGTTGTTTGTTTAGAGTCGCACCTTGTAAGTCTGTTATCTTAGTACACCATTATTCGTTCATTTATTCCAACTTCTGTATATTAAGCACAGTATAGGATAATATTCTTAGGCTCATAGTTTTATTGCTGCAGCTCTTCATATTTGTTTTTAATCTCTTTCCAGGGGAGGATCTCTCCAGTTCAGAGCTTTCCTCATCGCAGAGGTCGTCCGCAGCGCCCCAACATGTCGCCATCATCCATGAGGAAAGAGACTGAAAGAATAGCAAAAATATTTGCAGCTCGATTTGATGAGAATGATTAGTATGTGCTGTTTTTGTTTGCTAAACTTTTCTAATCACATTTTTTTGTTTCAGACTGTGAACAGATCATGTAAATTAAATGTAACATTTTGTAATTTTATAAATAAATATTTACTGTTTACTGTTTTAAACACTGAAAGGCTGTTTTATCTGTTTTGTTGATAGCATATATGATTTTTTCTGCTTGTTACACGAACTTGTTTCTTGGAACATGCCTCAGGTTATGTTAAGATTTACTGGCTGACTGTCTGAACCTGTGCTTCATTTGGCTGATGTACATTTTTGTTTGAAGGAGTAATGAATAGCTCAGAAATACGCTGCCATGTGAAGTGAAGTCATTTCAAACAAAACCTACATGTTGAAACAAAAATGTGTTATCAGTCTGTATCTGAAGTGTGCTGTGCTGCACTGCTCTTCAAGGAGCTTCTCAGTGTAATGATATAACTGGACATGTGGAGAGCTGAGGTGTTGTAGGTATGCTGAAATATACACCATTGTATGTTCATTTCATTTGTATGGGTTTTTGGTCATATTTGTAAAGAAATTGGGGTTATTAGCAGAGTAAAAGGAGCTCTAAAATAGATGTGGAGGTGATGTGCGTCTCTGCTTCTCTTTGGATGGCACCAGGAGTCATTTAAGTCAGAAGTCCTCCAAACCTTCACATGAGGGCTTTAAAATACAAAATACGCAAGGTGTACTTGAGCAATTTAGTATTGCATTTTCGTGACGTTGGGTTAGCTGCAAAAGAAAATTTGAAAATAGGTAGAAGTCCATGCAGCAGAGGCAGTGACATCGTGACTTTTAGACCCTATGATTTTTAAAAACAGGATTCTGTCAGTTCCACGATGCAACTTGAGTCTTCCGTTGGATGGTCAATACAATATTTTTCAACACCACACCAAAGCTTGGAACTCAGGATTTCCATTTAACAATTTGTAGTCCTCAAGCCCAAGTTGAAGACTACAAATGTGTTTCTCAGAAGTGACAAAGCAGAAGTAACTAATTCTCACTGTGGCAAGTAAAGCGAGTGTAAAATGTGTATAAAAGTGGTTGTAACATTTTTAAATTGAATGTACTACTACAGAAAATGTGCCCAAAATAAGTAACTGAATATGTTTTTGTTTTCATAGAACCGGTGGAACAGGCGCCCCAAGACATGAGGCTGTTGCGTCGGACTCCTGATGACACTGGGACAAACAGGCAGTGGGGCACCTTATTAGCATGTAATGTGTCAGGGCGGTGCAGCAACAGCAGCTCCGTTTAAAAACAGTCAACAACTTCAGAGGAGGCGGATGTCGCTTGTGCAGCAGTCAGGCGTTCATGCCGCTGCTGCCGTGCGGTTATTTGAGGAAGCGGCTGCGGTAGTGTTTTCCTTTTCTTTCTTTCTTTGTTTCTTTTTTCTTCTTTTTTTTTTTTGCTCTTTAACATTTGAAAGTGGTATGATAGTTTCGAGCTTTTTTATGGCGAATGGCACAAACAGAGGACTTTGTTTTCCCAAGACAAACTTCTCATTACCCGAAACTTGAGTTTGGTTGCAGCAGCCTGCCTATCTGCTTCTGATCTCAGGCTTGAAGTCATGACAGGACATATGAATCGGTTATGCGGATATTTGCGTTGAAGGACCTAAAGCTTTACTGTGCACACGGGCTCGCTCGGTGTTTTTCTTGTGGATAAGATTTTGTTGATCCTTTGGGCTCAGTCATTGATCATGGTTGTTGTCGGAGGGACTGCTGATCTGGCCCCTACAACCGCTGTCAAGTTTTTTGCAGCTGGAACAGCTGGCTGTGTGGCCGACCTGGTCACTTTCCCGCTGGACACAGCCAAAGTCAGACTGCAGGTGAGGATGCACTATTGCCAGGCCATCAATCCCCCAAACAATTATCCCGAGCTATTTCAGATTAAGCACATCAAACTGGTGTTGTCATAGTTTTTATGAATCTGATCTCTCTTCTTGATGGTCTCCATGCTGTCAAAACACTTTGCCCAGATATAATTCTCTACTTTTCATCTATTTTTGGACCTAAAAAGACAAATCTATGGCTGTTTGTACCAGATTACACCATAAAAAACTCATCTTGTGTACTTTATGTGTTATTGTAGAAATCCATCCTCAGGTCATAAAACTCCCCAGATTCCTAGAAACAAGATGGCCTTGGTGTCAGCCTCAGTGATATTTACAGCCGTGCTTCAGGAATATCTTAACACAGGTGCAGTGTATGTCAAATCAAGGATGCAACACTTGCAGTCAATAAAAAAAAGGAAACTGATAATAGGCATATAAACGTCATAGCCCCGATTCTCCCAGGAAACAGCTGAAAAACGAATCTCAGCTCAAACACTGTTGAGGGATTTAAGTCTTTGATTTGTCATTTTATGTTTTCTCCAGATTCAAGGTGAATCCAGGCCCACGCTGGAAGGCAAGGCGATATACAGAGGTGTGTTCGGCACCATCTTCACCATGGTGAAAACTGAGGGCCCTCGGAGTCTGTACAGTGGACTGGTGGCAGGGCTGCACAGACAGATGAGCTTCTCCTCAGTCCGCATCGGCCTTTACGACAACATAAAGCAGGTCTACAGCAGGGGATCAGAACGTATGTGCCATCACAGTCAAGAATCTGTTTCTGCTGCCATATTCATCCTATTAAAATAGTTGCTGATTAATATTCGCTTGGCTGACCAATTTAATTCATTAACTAATTGTTGCTGCTTTAATCATTTCTTATTCTGACCTGCAGTTGCAAACATAAAACAGCGACTAGACTAAACGACAACTGGGACAGGTGTCCTAGCTGTAAATGCATGTGTGGCAAGGCAGACTGGGTCATACAGTATTTTGAATTCATCAAAAAGAATATACATAAAGATAAATATGTTCTTGACATAGAAATATGCCTTTGGTTGCTCCAAAACCAACCAGTTAGGTCATTTTATACTGAGCTTATTGAAGGAGATATTTTGAGACTGTTAAAACACTGCCCCCAAATGTCTGGAAATATCACCTACACTGTAGGATAAATAGAAAATCCCAATCAAACAGCTATTTACAGTCTATAACAGACTAGTTCAATGCACAGAGTGTGTTTAAAACAGACAGAGCTGCATGTTATGAGCTCATTTTGCAGTTAACAGCTCCAGGATGTGGGACACAGGGCAGATTCCTCTGTGAGGGAACAGATCTGTGATCCCTGAGGCCTTTCCTGGTTCTCCTCCATCAATGACACATTGTGTCAACTCGGTTGTTTTTAGCTAGAGACACAGCTGGTACATCATTCTGATGACCTGGTTGGTAACCATCCTCATCCAGTGCACCTCTGCAGATAACAAGCAAAACACGTCAAACCAGTTTTGAATGTTAATGAGAGAGTTCTGCCTGAAGCTTTTTAGTGTCTGTGTTCTTAGAGTAGACAGTGCTCTTGTTGCTCTCTTATTTTAATCACACAAATGCTTGAAATGAAGCTTCAGAACTGAAGGAAATGTAGGATGCATCATGTCATCATTTCTTGTTGATTGCTCACCAGGACAGACATTTTGAAAGGTGAACTCCACAGCCAGATTCCAACTTTTCTTTCTACTTAATTCACTCCTCTCATGTCTCCATCGATAGATAGATTAATGTACTACACTCTGCCTGGAAGAGAAATGTCTAATACGAGTTGCTTGTATGACAGACGCAGGAATCGGGACCCGGCTGCTGGCAGGCTGCACCACAGGGGCGATGGCCGTGGCCTTCGCACAGCCCACTGATGTGGTTAAAGTCAGGTTCCAGGCTCAGGTCCGCCGGCCTGAGAGCGGCTCTGTGAGGAGATACAACGGCACCTTTGATGCCTACAAGACCATTGCCAGGGACGAGGGTGTTAAAGGGCTGTGGAAAGGTAAATGCAAGTGGGGAAATAAGAACACAAATGTGTAGATGTACCGCATAGTGGGTGTGACTGTAGTGACTGTGTAGTACCGGCTGCTCATTGCACTCTAATTGTTTAGACGTGGCCTCGGACTTATGATCTCCAGTCATTACCGCTGCTTTGTATCGTGACACCTTTATTTTCATGTGTCCATAATCTGCAATGTCCATGACCTCCAATAAGTTTTCTATACAGACAGAAACAGCCACGAGGTTGTCCGAGTATACAATCAAAAACTGTCTGCTCCTTTACAAAGAGCAGCACCTGTGTTTTCTGTCTTGTGGACAGCCTTGGCTTTACCATACACCGCCTAGTGCTAGTTGTAGTTTTAGAAATGAAAAAAATCTCGAGGTGTGGTGTTAGAAAGAAGTGAGTCAACCAGACCTCTGCTCATCATCTCTGCTCCAGGCTGCATTAGCTGCTATTAGCACAGCACACCTGAATCTCACAGCGAACTGTCAGCTGTTAGAGTTGCATTGTGGGTATTGTGTCAGGTTTTGACATGGAAGAAAATACGACAAAACCTCTGGTTCTGCTGCATTGAATTTGGATCCCTTTTTTTTTTTTTTTAACTGTCCATCTGATTCATGTTGTAGGAGTGCATATTGGTGGATTACTCTTTTAAGGTTCTTCAGGTTGAATTTTATTGTTTAAAATGTTGAACTGTTTTTTCAGGTTGTCTGCCAAATATAGCTCGTAATGCCATCGTAAACTGCTCCGAGCTGGTGACCTACGACATCATCAAAGAGCTCATCCTGAAATACAACCTGATGACAGGTGAGCTCAGTCGCTTCAAATAAAATCCTCAGTATTGAGGGGCCTCATTTCCCTTTATTGTCATTGCTCTTTTTTTGTAGGGCAAGGCAAATTTATTTGAATAGTGCCTTTCAGCAACAAGTCAATTCAGAGTGCAAAAAAAGCATTTGGAAAAACACATTTAAAGAGTAAAACAGAACAGAAGAGGAAAATAAGATAAAATAGAATGAAACTGTAGGATATACAAATTACTGTGAAGTTACAGTGATATGAATAAAAAGATAAGTAGTAAATAAATTTACTCTACACAGTCTTCTCTGCAGCCCTGGCCAAATCAGATATTTTGTTTTCCGCAGACAATATGCCGTGTCACTTCACAGCAGCCTTCGCAGCAGGTTTCTGCACCACCATCGTAGCATCTCCAGTGGATGTGATAAAAACGCGCTTCATGAACTCGGTGCCCGGACAGTACAGCGGTGCTCTTAACTGTGCCTTAACCATGCTGATTAAAGAGGGGCCCACAGCTTTCTATAAGGGGTACGTACTGCAACATGTCAGAATCCATACTGCAAAAATTCTATCTTTAACAACGAAATAAAAATAAATGAAACTTTCCATTTACATAATTTCATCTTTTTTTCTTTTTTCTTTTTCTTTTTTTTTTTTTAGATTCATGCCCTCGTTTCTTCGTCTGGGTTCCTGGAACATTGTGATGTTTGTGAGCTACGAGCAGATTAAGAGAGCTGTGATAAGATATCAGCGGTCCTGGGAGTCTCCTCTCTGAACCTCTCTGACTGCTGGTTTGGCACTGGAGTGGTGCAACTGTTGTGGCAAATCCAGGACTGCCAGCATTAAAGCTAACGGTTTGGTTGTGACTGCTGCTGGTCTGGGCCTGTTCGCCCTCAGGGATAAATCTACATCTTATTAAAGAGGCCAGACTCCAAAGAGAAACTGCAGGGACGATGAATGTCGACGTCTTGCTAACTTGCACACGATATTATAGATGTTCTTAATAGTAATAGTAATAATCTTTTAAGCCCTGAATCATTCGCCCTAGACTAATTTTAGAATTGGGCCGAACTCACTGGTGAACAGACAGACAACACTGTCTGTATCTTCCAGAATCTGCAGCTCTGTATTTTTCTTCTTGTGCTCAGTGTACAGTGTACAATGTGAGCAGAAAAGTCGCAGGAAGGCTGATTAAAACGTGTAGTGTGAGTTAACACATCTTACATGATTAAAGTGTCTGCTCAGCTTTACTGGAGCATTTGAATAGAAACAGAGCCATTGCTAATGTTACTAGTGACACCTATGCATATTTGTACTGTGAAATCTGTGTGGCTGGCGATGCTTTCTTTAAGCACAGTAAATTACTGGTTTTTTCTAGCTTGTCTTGGTTGGGTTTTTGTATCTTCTAATGTGTGCCTTCAGCTGTTTTTATGATAGTGTGAAAAAAAATGAAGTCATTCATAGGCATATTTAAGAATGAGGATGGCAGCAAACGGTTATTTTCATTATGGATTAACCTGCTGATTATTTTTTTTTTTACAATTAATGACATAGTCTTATAGTCTATAAAATGTCAGAAAATAGTGAATAATGTTTATCACAATTTCATCAAATCACTTGTTTTGTCTGGCTAGCACATCAAACACCCAAGAAAATATTCAGTTACTGTCACATAAGACAAAGAAAAAGCAGCAAATCCTCACAACTGAGAATCTGGAACTTGGGAATATGTGTGATTTTTTTTTTTAGATGAAAAAGTTCTTTAACAATCACTTATCAAAATAGTTGATGATTATTTTTACTTTGTCAAGTGACTAATTAACTAATTGTTTCAGATCTATTACAAATGAACCAAAGCTATCCAGTCTATACTGCCAAAGTAAATTTTAGGTTTTGTGATGAAGATAATTTTAATACCAAAAACACCACAAATGTTTTTAATACTGTGCAATATGTGAAAGATACATAATGTGTAGATATTGAAGTTTTTATTTGTACTCTAGACGTTTCAAACAATTAAAACAGGACACTGGAACCACATCCATAAGACACATTTCACAAACCAAAAATATCCATCAGTGTTTTTTGTTTTGTCTGTTTGAAAGAGCAGATTCAAAAACAAAGGAAGGCAACCAAACACTGACACACATTTATACACAATGAACCCCACCAAGCATCACTCCATACCTGCTCGACTACTGAATGCTGTTATAGATACTCTGCTGTATAATCCCCTTTACATGAGACCTCTCAGGGGAATGGTGTGAATATAAAACTCCCCCTAACTGTGAGATATGACAGAAAAACCAAGTGCTTTTCAGGCTAGATTTCTATAACAGCTGTGCTTACATTAAGAATATGGCTCAGTATGTGTGGCCACATTTTTAGAGCATGGTCTAATGTCAGAAAACACTTATTGTATAAAGTAATTTAATTCAGCTAATGAAATATATTTTTCATCATAGGGCGTCTTCATTGCTGCATTTTAATAACTGTTATCATTAAATACTGTGTCTACAAACTCATAAAAAAAATAAAAAAAATTGTCTGCACTTATTTCTGTGCAAAAATAACCTGGTTCCCCGCTAAACAATGCAGAGATGTGGAGGTGAATGAGGTGAGAAGCACAAAACAATCAGCTGACAGACGAGAAAATTGCCCAGTTTCAGTCTTGTGGAACAAAAGAGGCTGCTGACAAAGATGTAACTGAAGTCTGTGGTGTAACAAAAGCTTTTGAACATGCTCCACCTTGCTAATCATCTCCTGTCGTGCCAGTGAGGTTTCTCCATGGTTCAGTTGGTATAGCAAGCTTCTCTGGGCCATATGGCACCCATGGCTAAACCTCATGAGTGCCCAGGTCAGTTGGTGCGGAGGGAAAATTCAGAGATACTGAACAAATGATGAGTTTTACAAGATCAAATGATGAGTTTTACGAGATAACCCTCTGACTTTTATCAAAAGACGTACAGGTAAATGTTAGAGGTAACAGGGGTTACAGTGAGTTTAAAGAAAAAAAAAAAAGTTAATGGTTCTTTGCCGACTTTGGCAGGAGTCTCTGCGCACTAATGATCGGATATATCGAGTGTCGGTGAGCAGTTCAGGTTCACTGAACCAACAGTGTTCAGTATTTTTTATGAGTCACAGAAGCACAAACGTTCTCACCAGAGATGATGATGTATGTTTTCCTGTTGTGCAATCAGCCGTTTACAACCTGTATGTAACTATCTGTGTGGTTGTTTGTTACTGCAGTGATCAGGCTGAACCAGTTCTCTCACTGTCAGCTACAAACTCATGAACATCTAGTGAGAGCGGTTCAGTTGAGAAACTCCTGCACTCGGCAAAAAATAAAAGCTCAACAGCTATTGATGATGCTTTGCTGATTTTGTTGGCCAGTGTAGTATGTGTTCTACAGCATTGTACATCTGGGGACCAATTTTTTTGCAGGGTTTTCCTTTTTTTTTTTTTTTTTAAATTTCAATTAGACCAGTTTTTTAGGATTGTAGAACAGATTACCAATTTCTATTAGTGAGTTTACGTAAAGACTCAAACATGAATATACTGAAAATGCTTTGTGTTGCAAAACTATACTAAATATTTAATCGACAGATTATCTGCACAACATTTTACAAGGTGCTATTTATTGGGATTTACATGAGCCTTGTATTTATATTGACATTTACTTTAGATTAATTAAAAATGATGTCATTTTTAGTTCAGCTTTAGCTTTTTCTAAGAGAGCAAAATATTAATATTATCAAATATTATCTTCGACGACCAGTTACTGCCCACAGGCCGCTATTTGAAATTTGTTCATTACTGCTGCCACAGTGTTATAGTAAATGATAGATATGTTTTAATTTTTTTTCATATACTGTAAGTTCATTTATTCAGAACCTGTTTCTGCGGTGTGTTGAAAGACTTTGGGAAATGTAGAAAATCACTAAGAAAAGGCAAGTTTGAAAAGGTTCAGACATTTCCAGACTTGGTCCTTAAGTGGTTTGAACTTCAATAATCAACAATAATAATAATAATAATAATAATAATTATAATTATATATGACAGTTGCAGGGTGACCTTCCCTTGAATTATCAACTGTCTTTGAAACTTTGTTAACCAAACTGGATTAGACTTCACTGTGGTGCCTGTTGATCCCTCCTCTGCTGCACCTTCAGTGGCTGAAGACGGACGGGTATTGTCGGCCATCTGGGGCCTCGTCCACGCACTGCTGGGCGAAGGGACTCATCGTAGTCAAAGCAAAATGGTAAATGTGGTAGATACTGGGCAAAGTTTCCATGGTCACCAAAGGGCAGGAACGGGGGGTGGCAGCAAGGGGGTAAGACCACAGCTGTGGTTAGACTGCAGATGGGGCGGCAGGGATTGTGCATCTGCTCAGGAAAGCCCACTGAGAAACCTTGAGCTTCAGGGTGAATCTCACTGAGTCTTTGTCTTGTTTTCTCTCTGTGTCGAATCATTTCCTGGAGTTTCTTCACTAGGATCAACCTGATGTGGTGGAGTTTCCTCAAGCTGAGAAAAGAATCCAAGAAATCTGCCAGCGGCGTTTTCCCCTCCGCAAACCTCTGAAACAGCAGCTGTCAGGAGAAATATTTCATTATTCTCAGAAGGTAAATTAGACCTCTCCTCGGCTGGTATTTGCTTTCTTAATTGTGAAAAAACTAGGCTGACATGTTTTATTGATATACTTATCTCTCTTCTTTATCTTCACTAACATTTCTCTTCTTGTTAGATATAATGCTGTATTGTAACACTATAGAGTATTAAAGTAGACTACAGATTATAGACTATAGACTATAGAGATAAAAATCCTTACCTCACATTCCTCCTCTGCATGATTTATCTTTCTCAGGAGACACAAATGTGCATAATGAATACTGTATTTTTCTGCTACAAATGGGGAGAAAAAAAACTTTCTTTAAGGATTTTTACTAAATAAAAAGACCAAATATAGGAAAATGGCGATGCAGATTTAAGATAGCGAGGGTAAAACATATCAGAATATATTTTGAAACTCACCAAGTTGTTCTTGTTTGGCCTGAATGAGGCTTCTAAGTTTCTCCAGTTCCCTGTACTTCATTGCAAGCAGCAACTTAGCATCTCTAAATTTCGGTTTTTGGGAGAGACTGACTTTGGCCAATCTTTGATTTGAAATCAGCATCTTCTCTGCAGACCTCTGCACTCCCTGAAACTGAAAATAACCACATATAGTTTAACCATCAAAAACATCCATGGTTTCCTTTCTTTTTCAATGAAAGACATTTCTAATTGGTGAATATTTAATTTTCAAAACCTTTACTGGATCTTTTGAATCTACTCTATTTATTGTGACATTATTTTAACATATGGTCACATACAGTTAATTTACACATAGCTACATTTACACATGTAATATCAATTAATATTTTAAGCAATTTAAAATTGTATTTCCCAATGTATCTAAATATATTCACCACTTATACACTTATTCACCATACTTTCATTTTGTTCGCTAGAAAGAATAAGAAGTAATATAATCTCCATACATACATTTTTTAAATTTGATTGAAGAAATGGAGCCTCACTTGGTCAGATACTCACCTTCTCACTACACCTGATGATGTGATTTAGTTTGTCTTCATCTTCCAGCAGCTCGCGCAGCTCTCTGGTCCTAAAGACTCCAAACTGAAAAAACTGCTCCGACAGAGACATGGTGACCCTCCTCTCTGGGTGCTCTGTGCTTCTTCAAAGTTTGGTACCTGATGCATCCTGCTGGGGCGCAAGGTGAGCTGTTGATGCTGCATTCAAGGACTGTCGGAAAACTCACTATTATACGACTAGAGCGTTATAGGACACATTTCTGTAGACCTAGGACCCCCCGGGCTTAAAATTTATGTCTCCTTATGGCTATTTTCAATCTTTTGTGATCATTCTATGTCTCTGAGGTCATTTTGTGTCTCTGAGGTCATTTTGTTTCGCATTCTGTTTGTCTTTCATCCCTTTGAGTTCATTTTGTTTCTCTTCGTGGTTGTTTTACCTCTGTTCAGGATTGTTTTGCATGTTTTTGTGGACATGTTGTGTCTTCTCACTGAGCTCTGACTTTCAAACAAGAAATATCAACTGTCACCTCTACAGAGGCCCCCTGACCTCTTCGTAATCCATCCATTGTCAAAGGCTGTAAGTACCAGTTGCTCTTATGTTGTATAATTTCTCCTTTACAGGAGTTGATTGGTTGTTTATGTGTTATATTATACTGTGGGCTTTATGTCTAGGCTATACAATATCAGAATCCCAAGGAAATCTGAAGCCCCCCATTTAATTTTAGGATTGTAGTGGTGTACCTGTAGACACCTCCACAGTATGGAAATAGATGACATCAGAATGCATTTTCCTATTACAGTTCCTCATGTTTTAAATGACATGTTTAAAACTATGTAAAAATACTCCGTTATGATCAATACTTTGTTTAACATGGTTTTCCCAAATAAAAAGGGGGAAAAAAAGGGAAAACAGGGGCTGGAAGCACATTTACTCTTACTTCCTCATTGAAAAAATACTGGATCAGGCCTCTTGCCCCAGTGCCAGAAGTGCGTATCAAGATGGTTAGTGTTAGAGGAAACATCGGAGAGCCGCATGTTTGAGCCTCATTCAGACCCAGACTCAGATGAGGAGTCTGTTGTGACCAAAATCAGTGACTAACAGATGTATAAGAACGGTTAGCGCAGTTAGCGTTTGTTTGTTTGTTGTAGCTGACAGTGGCTGACACAGTGTTAGTGGTTGTGCTAATGTAAACTCTTTATTTTTCATGCCCCCCGTAGCTACAAGTTGAAGGCATGGCTTCCTTGGCTGTCTGAATCAGGTTTTATGAGGCTGTCATTGGTTTACTGCAGCTCCAAAGTGGAAATACGCAGTCATGGTGTTGACTGCTTATTTCACTCATATGTCTTTTATTGTATAAAAACATCATATGTTAACAAGGTTAAAAACTTTAAATGGATCAATGAACACACATACACACACATATATATTTATATATATATATATATATATATATATACACACAAATTATTTATTTAATTATTGTTTTTTATTTTTATTAAAACTGTACATTTTTCACTGAACAGTCTCTTGGGGCTGTGACCCTTGGTTTGTGACTATGTACTATCTCCTGATGTCCAGCTCTGTCCTGTGAGTGTTTCTTCTGTGTCGACCAGGGTGGAGCCCGGTGGAGTCAACACGGCTCTACCATGCAGGTGAAGACTGCCGGCCTCCCTCAGAATAACTCTGCCTCAGCTATATGTAGCCCGAGTTAATCCTTAAGACGAGCGCTGCCGAGGTCCCTCCCTGCTCATCAGTGAAAGTCCTGCTCTGAGACATAGAGGAGTTTCCCCTCCTGAGAGCAGAAGGACAAGATGCAGATTAACCTCAACCGCCCTCAACACAGGACACCTCCACTTTGTGAGTACAGTCAGCAATTTACCTCATATTTTATCTTGCACAGTATTTTATGTGTGTGATATGTTAAAGGGGATTCAGATGAATAGCAGGTGTTTGCTGCTGTTTATCTTTTTTAATAGGCCTTTACCATTTTTCTTGCTTTACATCATTGCAAAGACAGATTTTTTTATGTGTTAAGTATGTGTTAAGTATGTGTACACACTGTGTCGGTGTTGTGTATGGCTGTAAGTGTTGTGGGTTTACTTGCCTGTGAAAGCTTTCTACTTTGTTACATAAGAAGCTTTTCAGTTCTCCAGACTGTATTTTAGGCAGTGAGTTGTGCTCATGAATATCAATGTCTTCCTAATTTCCTGTCTTACTCATTCAATGCCGTGTGTTCAGTGTTGTTTAAAAAGCCAATACATGTTGTGAATACCATGAGTACAAACAGTTCCCTCAGTTAGGGCAGAGCAGTTTGCACTGTGATCACTCTTATTAGTTGCTAGTATTGGATAGTAACCTGACTAGAGGTCTAATTAGGCAGTGAAATTGAAAACACCTGTGCGGGTGAGCAGCACCTTTAAGAGAAACATGTAATTCTTTCATTTTGTTACAGGACTGTACCACTAGTGGCTTTGCATGTTTTGTCCCATTAACTATGAATTGTCTATACTTTACTCCCAACTACTGTCTTAAAAGAGTATTCCCTCATTCTGCACTCAAACATTGTCAGACTCATGAAGGACAGTTTAAAAAAAAAAAGCAGCCAAAGAGCCATCATCTTTTTTCACACATTTCTCTTCCTTGTTAACATGTGGCACCTATATTACCCATAATGCAACTTGTAGTCCTCTGCCCCAATTGTTGCCGAATCAGGTGACATCATTTGAGGCAGTTCATCAGACGTCCTGCAGTTTCCTCTGGAGCCACCAAAAACTTCATGCTCAGATCCAACTAAAAACACAAATAATGAGCAAATATGAAACTGGTGTCTTGCATTTAAAACGTTGTTGTTTGGTTGGTGACTGTCAGGCTTCAGTGTCTGGATTTTGTCTCCACATAAATTTGACAAAAAGAAAGCCAGCTTACTCAGGAGAGTTTCAAATCTATGCATACCCAGCTGTGCGGCTCTCTTCATTTGTCAGTGTGTGAGCGATTTCATGTCTTTCATGTCATTTCTGCTCCCACACCTTTCAGTGCAGTGATGCCCCCTCCAAGCCGCCTCTGGGACATTCAACTGTGAGTGAACAAGGACAACTCATCATGAGCGCCGACACTGTCTGCAGGGCAGAGCCGGACTCTGAGCACCACGGGGAGCTGGCCGACTTGTTGGCAGCCATGAACGTGGCCGCCAACCGCATGACCCCGCCTAATGGCTCCAGGCCGGGTGCTCCGAGGACCACCAGCTCTCACAGAGCTCGACTCTCCGACAGGAAGCTGTCTCTGCAGGAGCGAGGGAGCCGAATGGCCCGACAGCCCACCATTGAGACCAAACGTGTGTCCATCACAGATGCTGATGTGAGGAGTCCTGAACTGACAGAAGCATCATTCAACGTGTTACTCCTCAGATGTTTCACTGATTGAATTATCTCTTCAATTTCTGCAGGACTGTGTCCAGCTCAACCAGTATAAGCTGAAGGAAGAGATTGGAAAGGTGATCAATAAACATGTGATCACCAAGTAATCTAGGTGACACAGAGGTGGTGACCAAGGATTTTAATTAAGTTATTTACATTTGTTGTTTTTCCACCCCAGGGTTCGTATGGAGTGGTGAAGTTAGCTTATAATGAAGATTCTGAACAGTACTATGTAAGTTGAAGCTCTTCAATTGTGCATTTATGGCCAAAGTCTTTACAGTTTGTCCAACCTTTATTTGCTCTGTCTCATTCATTCAGGCAATGAAAGTTGTTTCAAAGAAGAAGCTGATGAGGCAGTGTGGATTTTTTCGTGAGTGAAAATCTCCATCCCAAGTAACACTTCAAATGTCTAATGAGTGTTCATCATTCCTCTAATGATACTGTATGTTTTTATGTGTGTGTGTGTGAACTCTCAGGCCGCCTGACTCCTCAAGGATCAAACTCGCAGCAGCTGGATCCGTTCCCTAAAGCCGTGTTGCCTCTGGAGAAAGTCTACAAGGAGATTGCCATCCTGAAGAAACTGGACCATCATAATGTTGTTAAACTGGTGGAGGTCAGTAGATGTGACTCACTGCTCCATAGACAGCACTATCTTACAGCATGTCTGACAGGCATTTAAACATGCAACATGCATGTTTACCATAAATGTTTAATTTAAACGATCTCCATTGGAAAACTGATTATAGTGCAGTCTGAGGGGCAGTCTGTAGTTCTTCTGTAAGAAATAGGACATGGTGATGATGTGTAGGTCAAATATGGTAAGTTCAAGTTTTTTGGGAATAAATGAATTATACAAAGAAAAGAAGGGGTGGTTTTGATAGATCTGTGTGCAAAAACATTGTATTTTTCAATATATATGTGGAATATAACAAAAAGTGGGGAATACAACCAAAGACAGGTGAAAAGAAAATGAAAGCTCTTGCAAACCCAGGTTAAGCAGGTTTACAGTGGTGAATCTATACTGGGAATTACATGTTGTCATGTTGTCAGAACTGTAATTGACCAAAATAATGAAAGAATCTGTTTGGGTGTACCATGTGCGTGCAGGGCCTATAATTACTATTATTCCTATAGTACAAATAGAAAAATAGTGCAGAACATGAGAGACCTGAATTAACGTGTCTTGCAGGTGCTTGATGATCCCGATGACGATGGACTTCATATGGGTAAGAGACTCATTTATCTGTAGTGCAGTTACTGAATTTAGCTCCTAATGTATCAATATGATATAATATAAGCACAAAGACAAGAAGTCATCAAAATCTGATTATTTATCCTCAAGCCTTCGAATTGGTGACAAAAGGGTATGTTTTTTGTGCATTTGTGTATTTTGTCAAAATCCAAGTGGAGATCAGTTAGACATTTGAAGAGTTGGTAATACTACCATGAGATACAGTATAAATATTTAATGACTTTACTGCCTTTCTCCACCTCTCATGTTGATCAGCCCGGTGATGGAGGTGCCTACAGACGACCCTTTCACAGAGGAGCAGGCTTGCTTTTACTTCAGAGACATCGTCCTGGGAATAGAGTACTGTAAGTTTAGAGTTAGAATTTAATCATAAATATCACATAGTAAAAACAGCATCACTTAACTTTAAGACCCCCTGTTTCAAAATGTATAAGCGCTAACATTATAATGTAGTTGTAAGGAGATATAAGTGTTTATTCATGTATTTGTCAGCAACTATAACTCCGTCTTCAAAGGAGAGGTTATAATTACTGGCAAATGCTGTATATGAATAAAAATTTAAAATGTCTTTATAGCTGTGTACATTTACATTATAGTATGTTTTAAACCATTCATGATTTACATTGAATAATGAATTTAAAAAAATGGGGACTCATTCTGGTGCATGCACAGCAGGTGGCTTAGTGACTGCTTTATCTGTATACAGTTCAAGGCATTTGAAGACAACAAAACTTCACTGACCTTTTTCATTGCAATATTATATACTGCCACAATTAAACCATAGTTCTTCATAGCTGCTCTACAGCTACTACAGAGCTGATCTCTCGTTCTGTCCAGTGCACTACCACAAGATCGTCCACAGAGACATTAAACCCTCCAACCTGCTGCTGGGGGACGACGGCCACGTCAAGATCGCCGACTTTGGTGTGAGCAACGAGTTCGAGGGGACGGACGCCCTCCTGTCGAGCACGGCGGGGACACCGGCCTTCATGGCCCCCGAGATGATGGCCGAGCACGAGCAGAGCTTCAGCGGAAAGGTGAGACGAAACACAGACAGCGGTAATCACTGATTTACATATGTTGTAGATGTGACTCATCACATCAGGCTCTGCTTAATTGTGAGAAATTATCAAGAAATGTTTGTCCAACCGCCCACTGAGAGCTTTTCAGGAATGGCACATCCCTGATAATTAGTGTGTTTGTTTACCAGGCATTAGACGTGTGGGCGATGGGAGTCACACTTTACTGTTTTGTGTTTGGGAAGGTAAGCAAGTTCACAGCAAAATGTGTGCAAAATAAAAAGCCAGTCCAACAATTGATTTTAACATTTTAATCATTTAATTTTGTTTACCCTGTTCTAGTGCCCTTTTTATGATGAATACATTGTCTCTCTGCACAACAAAATCAAGAACAAACCAGTGGACTTTCCAGAGACGTAAGCAAACACCAGGAAACATTTAGAAAGCAGAATAACACCAAGAATAGAATAACGCTTTTACTTACATCTGTGATTGATTCTGCTGTGAAAAGTTTGCATTTTAACTCCTGATCCCTCCTCCTGTAAAACTGTTGCCATTTTGCTTTTTTCTCAGGCCACTGATTAGTAATGAACTGAAGGAGCTCATTGGATGGATGTTGGATAAAAACCCTGAAACAAGAATCACCATCCCTGAAATTAAGGTCACAAAGAAAGAAAAATCATTAATTACATCTGATTGATATCAGACAAAAGACCATGTGATCATCACCAATCTGTGACAGTTTTTCATAATGAAGGTGTTAGTATGTGTGTTGTTACAGCTACATCCGTGGGTGACAGAGAACGGCTCGAATCCTCTCCCTTTGGAGGAGGAGCACTGCACGGCGGTGGAGGTCACTGAGGAGGAGGTGCAGAACAGCATCAAACTTATCCCCAGCCTTTCCGCTGTGGTGAGTCCAAAAACGTTGCTTGTGTTGTCATTATTTGACACTTTAAAGACCACACATCCCGAATCCAGCTGCTGGTTTGAATGTTCCAGTGGAAATATCTCAGATGTGATATTTTCATTCTTTCTGCTGATTGCTTGAAGGTTTCTGTTAAAATCCCTGTTCCTCTTTTATCTTAAAGACATATGACTCAGATTGCTGGGCTCAGATGAATCTCAACCCGTCAGATCTCTTGCATTTGAATCTCAGCGTATACAGATCTACTAACATTTAGAAATATAATTTCAAAAGAAACTGGTGAGGTACTGTTAAAACTTGGCAGGCAGGACAAAACCAGACATGGAAAGACACAAAGAGGACACAAAAATATAATTTTAGTTATAAAGTTGTGACATTGCTATATTTACATGACATGGTAGATGAAGGGGACATGAATAACCAATCTGTGAGGGTGGTATATTATAAAAATATATATATAACCACTCGACAGTTTACAGTTGACCATAAATTGAAATAAAGGGGATTTTTTAATAGGATTTAATATTTTAAAAAATTTCACATATAAAATTGTATATTTTGGTGTGGAAACTTAATTGGCAGTATGAAAATGTCTTTTCTCTGAGACTCTCTCTGATGTCCACTGCAGATTCTGGTGAAGTCCATGCTGAGGAAGCGGTCTTTCAGTAATCCCTTTGAGTATCAGGGCAGACGGGCAGAGAGGTCCATGTCTGCCCCTGGAGGTCTTCTTACGTAAGTAGCCTACTCTGCAAATCCTGCCTGCTCCGCTCTGCCAAACTGCCAGCTCTGCGATTAGGCCTCTAAGAAAACAAAGCAGCGAGCAGATGCTTGGATAAAAATAGATCACTCAGTTACAAACTTTGCATGAGTAGCGTGTCTCTCACATATTGAACATATTAAATCTACCATCATATCAAGCCCATTAATCTTTGAATACTGACTAGCTCTTATACTGTTTGTTTTGTTTTGCTCTTTATATTAGTGGCGCACTCAGGCAGATAAAAGCTTTCGTCCTCCCCTGATAAGCTAAATGGAAGCCCCTGCGGCAGCAGTAATAGTGACTGCACTGCTTTTGTTTTCCATTAACTATGGGTGATGGGGGTGGTGGGGGTGGTGGGGGTGGGGGGCACAGCTAATTACACCTCCGTGTGTGAAGAGAGATGTGGAGCAGCAGCAGCTACATCCTCCTCCACACAGACACATGCCACCAGCACTACAGTATGCAGCACTGGTGTCTCCCACACAGTGACATCTGTGGAGATGATCGGGCTGTCTGTCCGTCTGACACATGTGATACTGTATGTAAATGGTGGAATATAAGACAAACAGCAGGTGGGACTGAAAACACTTAAGATGCCAATGGGTATGTTCAAGTTGTATTTGAGTGCATAAAAATAAAGTACATTATAAATATTTCACATTTTGAAAGGCGTATTTTGCTGCTCCAGCTGGCTTGAAGAAGAAGATCAAAATGTTTACATTTTGATCTTCTTGGAGGGATGATGTTTTGTGGCATTGTGGTCCAGTGATTAAACATTACACTTTTCTGCCTAGAGTAGTAGAGACAGTTGAATTCATGATTTATACATGACTTTATGTTCAAATCTGATCTCTGGTCTGATTTTCACAGAGGTTGGACGTCATTCTGTATGGAGACCCAGATGTTAAATAAATAAACAAATATGACAATATGAAGTAATGTGAATACGAATGAGTAGAGACACAATTTTTAATACAACCATAAAAGTGTGTAATAATCATTTTTTTTTAAAAGTCAGCTCATCATTATTATTATGACTGTATGCTTCTTTACACAGTAACAGAGTGTGTTGCAGGTCTTAGCAGTTTTCATTTCAAAATCAAATCTGCTCAAGTAACAGCCAATTACATAACTGGCTCAACCCTCTTTGTCTTCATTGATGGACAAAAGTTTGTGATGAAAATAGTCAGTATGTAATAAAACAGTCATTGGGGAAAATTGCATTGTGAAATTTAAAAGCTGAGTTTTGAAAAAGAGGTCATTTTGAAATACAAATTGAAATTCATTAAAAATAATCTACAGTGAATTTTGTTACTGTGAAAACAAGCAGGCTGAAATAACATTTCACAATATTGAGCTGAGTTTTAAAAAATGCATTGTATTCATTCATGATTATTTACTTCATAATGTCTTTTTAAATTATTTAATATTAAGCACTTTGGCTCTCCATATGTTCTTTGGAGCAGAAGCACAGTAAAGGCACAGGCACAATTGGTCTGATGAGAACGCTATAATAAAAATTATTTCAAATGCTGAAGGTTAAAGAATTTGACAATTGGAGAAATACTTTTATATGCTTTCTTGCTGATAGTTGGATACCACTTGATACCACTTTCTTATCTGCTCAGTAAATTTGAAGCTACAGCCTGCAGCCCATAGTTTAGCATAAAAACTGGAAACAGGTGGAAGCAGCTAGCCTGTGAGTACCTGTCAGTACCTCTAAAGCTTACTAATTAACATGTTATATCTTGATTGTACAATATTGTAGAAAATGTAAAAAAATACAAAGAACAAAATTAGTTTTAATCAGGAACCTATAGCCTATAGTGTTAATCAATAAGCTTTAAAGGTGCTAGTAGGTGGAGTGTGTCCCCTGTATACAGTGAGCTGTTTCCCCCTGTTTAGTCTTTATGCCAAGCTAAGATAGCTTCATATTATATATATTATACATTAATATATATATATATTATATATATTAAACAATTTTCTCATCTAACTCTGCAAAAACACAAATAAGCTCATCTCCCATTCTTGTCTGACTACTCCTGCTACAGTCCTGTTACAGTAAAATCTGTGTTTATCATTAACTGTGTTGCAAGCCAGCAGATTATAAATTCTGGCCTCTTACATTACATCTCCTTCTTGCAGTGGTTCTTGGGGCTTATTGGGGTCTTCGCCTCAGCTTCATCCTTCCTTGAGGTAAATTTTTCAAAAGCATTTAGGTTGAGCTCATATACGCTCCACAGCCAGCACAGCTCATCAGCTGTTTGTCCAGCCTTAAGAGGATTTAAGAGAGACAAGACAACGCAAATCTCTCATCAACGAGCTGTACCGAAGATAAATAGACACACACGCACAGACACACGCACACACTCACACACGCACACACTCACACTCACACACACACACACACACACACACACACACACACACACACACACACACACACACACACAGTTGTTGTTGTTGAGTGCTTTGTGTTTCCTGTTTGTCTTGTGTCCTCTTGAGGTTGCTGTGGATAAAAAGTGATGAGCTGTGCTGTGGAGGACATGTACTCTATGACATTTTTAGTCTAGTGTTACCGCCCCACCCCTTTCTCCTCCTCCCTATCAGCAGTCTCACTTAGTACCTTCAGAAACATGATCGAGCGTTTGTCGCCCGCAGGAAAGTCAGCAACGAGGGGAGCAGAGAAGGAGAGTTGGAGGACTTGTATGAAGACGACACATTCACAGAGTGTACAGATTAAATTCACATATGCATTGACACGGATTAAAATTCCCACCTAACTTTTGCTTTTGCGTCATGCTTGCTGTGATTACATGGTTGTAGTTTTTTTCTCACTTCAGTGCAAAAAAACAGTCATGTGATATAATGCATTAAATACATAAAATGATAGCAAGTAAGATTAGATTTTGTTCCATCTGTCTCTGAATTACAGATGACACTGTTGACAGCATATGTTGTTCATGGATGTAATATGATTTATTTACTTTGGATTGTTCTTAAAAATGTAAATATGCTCTATAAAGAAGATATTTTTACATTTTCCTACAGCTGTTGAAGATAATAAAAAATCTTATTTCAAACAGTGATTTTGAATCATTGCAGGGAGAAACCACTGATAGTTTTGTCTAGTGCTGAAACACTAGATGGCAGCCTTGTGGCAACCTGTGTATTGTTTTCTCTTTGTTCTGTCCTTGGATCGTCTCATTGTTAGTTAACCATTCAGCAACAGTCAGACAGTAAATACGCACTCCTAAATCACCATCACCGTTCTTCTTAAGCATCCAAAACATGATACATCATGTATCTCACTTCTCATAACACACTCTGAAACACTGAAACTGCATCCTGGTTTTATTTTTAGGGCCTGTTTCAGTATCAAATGCACTTTATTCTATGGACCAGTAGAGGGCAGCATTGTGTTGTAATTAAAGAGATCAGCCATAAACCAGGCTGCCCTCAGTTTAAGCCCTTGTTAACAGCAACAACCCTCACTGCTCTGACAAGTAAAAAAAAAAACATGCTGGTGTTGAACAAAAAGTTCAACACCAGCATCCAAAAAATACATTGTTAAATTACATTTCCCCATTGTATTTATGATGAAATTCATACATATAAACATCACATTGCAGCATATGCTCACGTTATTGGACCAACAAATTNAAAAACATGCTGGTGTTGAACAAAAAGTTCAACACCAGCACATAATTAGTCACATAATTAGGACATAATTGTACTATACAGCACCATAATGAACTTGAGAAGGTGCACAGCTATGGAGCGACCTAAACACACTTGAGGTTGAGGACAGCAGATGTGTGGACAGCAGGTTCAGTGATAGTTATAACAAAGAAGAAGATGAGATTCCATAAACAAGAGTTAGACCAAAGATTTTGCAAAAATGACTTACTACAGTACACGACTTAAGGTACAGACTTCAAAGAGCATCTGGTGCAACCCAATCCAGGTAGCAAAGCTGTTACTGTGCACTTACAACTATGGTGTGTTATAAACTATTTATTAAATGTTCATACCAGTTAGTTTCAAACCAATAAAACTTGAGGAATGTCTCAGCTGGTAAAGACTTTACAAATGTAAATCATCTGCTAGGAAACATCTGTCCGTCCAATCAAGAGCGATCAGCTATGTAAACAGCATACATGTGTGCAGACATAAATGTGTGTTTCAGAAGAAGTAGGATTCATAGAGTTTAGAATGAGTGGGAATATTCGATTATGTTAACCTGCTAGTTACTTATTTATCATTACTCACATGTGATTAGCACAGCATTTTGTAATTTGAGGTATGTTGTGTCATTGTTGTAAATGTTTTAAAATATGTAGCATTTGTCTAATTTCAGGTCAGATACTTACATCAGTAGGCTATGTAAAAAGTAGTTTGTGTGGAGCAGCCTGCTCCGTAAAAGTTAAACACTTCTGGACGTTTGAAGATACGAACAGCTGGTGCGAATTTGTTGACAGCTGTTCATGCAAATATCTCTTAATATCTCATGTTGTTCTTTCACATGGAAAATAATTCATGTCTTGTCATTGTTATATTTGTACATTTAAAATATTTGACTCAAAAAATGCGCAGCTAGAAACAAGTTGAAATATGTAAAATTGTAACAAAAGAACAATATCCTGCTGAATTATAAGGGTAGGATATCAGACAGAGGGGATGGAATTGGTGTTGTTTCTTGTATTGTATTATTTTCAATTACCTAGCAGATATTTCTCTTTGTGGCAAAGTGGCAGATTTGAAAATTTTTGCATTTTTCACTTACAGTGGAGGAAAAAGTAGATGCATCACCTAAGTAGAAGTAAAAGTGTAGGAAAATATGCTGTTACAAGTAAAATTCCTCTATTCAAAATTCTTACTAAAGTAAAAGTACCAAAAGTAAAAGAAGTCATTATGCAGTACAACTAATTTCAGAGTAATATACACTATATTTGTGTCATAATTACGAATGCAGCTAACATTAACTGCTCTATATACGGGCGGATAGCTTAAGCTATAATAATACATCATCCTTTATTGTCAAATATATTTTAAATTAATAATCTGAATCTGCAAAGTAACCGGTAACTACAACCATCAGACAAATGTAATGGAGTAAAATGTACAAAATTTGCCTATGAAATGTAGTGAAGTAGAAGTATAAAGTAACATAAATTGGAAATACTCAAAGTACTAGTACCAGATATTTTATCCAAATACAAACTGATTGTCAACACTGCTTCCTTCCCTCCTTTGATTGTGCTGCAAAAATAGATGTTTCAGTTCAGAAGATGAGGAGGAGGCATGATGCTGCAAAATGTAAAATCCCTGAGCAAGAGTACCGCTGCCAGTCACAATTACAGCATTACTTTACACCAAGTGTCCTGATCAGCACAAATTTCAGGTTTATCAGGTTGAGTTGTGGCTACAACATTGGTTTTTAGAGAGGCAGCCTTGAGTGGGCCTGAAAGCTTCTCTGGAGGTGTGTTTAGTAGGTGGAACAAAGTCTCTGAAGGTTTGAGACAACAATACAATATGGAAAGGGAACAGCAACCAGCACCAAGATTTTGTTTCTTTTTTTAACAGGAAGATATTGTGCAGCTGCTGATGTAGAATAAAAACACGTAGATCAAATTGTAATGGATATTTTGGTGTGAGAGAAGTTAGTAGAACAGAGGAGGAGTAAAATCATGGACAGGTGAACAGCCAATCCAGGCCAATGTAAATTGTCTGAAGGTTACAAAATGGGCCCACCAGCACCTCTAATGATTTTATTACATTTAAACATAGCCAGACGGGTTTTTAAGCTTAGCTAACAAGGTTTGGCTTATATTCACTGTTCAGACATGAGAGTGGTGTTAAACTTCTTGTCTCATTGTCTGCATAAAGTTAATATGTGTATTTCCCAAAGTGTAAAACTATAGTTAGTATAGTTATTGATGCATCATGTCAACACATCGTATCAACAGTATGTTAGTGGCCGATTACCATTATGTAACAAATATGGCTGGTTAGCAAAGCTATATTAGCACCATTTGTTGGCTCAGGTGATTCCCCACTGCTGTTGTATATCTATACTGTCTTACAAAGGCAAAATGCAATAACAACTGTACATATTTGGTCAAAGTTGAATCAAAACCATCTGACCTTCTGATACCTTACCTTACCATAGAAATGATTACACCATGAAATGCCTAATGAAATAAAATGGCAAACCAGGTGAATTACTTCTGCTAAATGCTAACTAGCCTAGCCTCTGGCTCCAGTGGATTTCATGTGGTTTAATGAGGTGATCTACCTTTAAATAACATATTTAAATGTACTTAAAAAAAATAATTAATTTAACTCATTAGTTCAAATCCACCATTACCACATTGTATTGTAGAAACTGTAAAGTGTAACATTAGTATCTAAATGTCTAAATGTCTTTTGAGGTTCAATGTAAGGTCTGTGACAATGATTAATAATCCGGATAAAAGGCATAGCTAAGAGCCTTCACTGTTACTCCTCTCAGGCTTCATAAGGCAGTGTAAAAGCTGGAATAGTACGTATTTTATTATCACAGATAAATATCCTACATGCTGATGTGGCTTACAGATTGTGAAACACTGCAGCCCCAAACAAAAAAGGTTTTCGATGATGAAATACAATGAACTGCATGAACTCTCATGTTACATTCCCTGTGTTAGTTTCCCTGTAAATGTGTCAGAATGAAATTAAAACAACTCTTTAGCCCCTGGAAGCTAAAATGGTCGGTGAGACCATTTTTATTCCTGCAGTCAGCCCATTTTTCTGCTTGTTGCAGTTATGTGAAGAACAAGAGGAGTGTTTCTGAGCAAAGATTTCTGTGGAAACTGTTGCCATGCAACAGCACAATACTGTGCTCATACAGAGTAGTAACTTCACTGTATGACTGCTCTTTTTCCTCAGCTCACACTGCCTGAGCAGTAATGCAATGTCCTATTCTATTCGATTCTCTTCTATTCTATTCTATTCTCTGTATGTTCAAATGCATAATAAGGTCTTTGTTTCTGGGCAGTATCTGTGGTGTCATTGTTTCATCGATGGGCAGGGGAAACTTTGCCTCAGCGTCTGGTTCCACACCCAGACTCCCTTCAGTTTCCACATCCAGAGCCAGCTGCAGTTCAGCCTCAGATATTTAGTTAAACACTGACCTTTGGATCTCACCGTTAACCCTCTATTCCTGTCACCACGCCACGTTTCACTCCTGTAGCCTCAGCCGGCTCCACGTCACCGTCCCCTCTCTCTCTCACTCTCTCTCTCTTCTCTGTGCCTGTTATTCACCACGGCTGACCCCACTGACCCGCTGTCAACGGGACTGTACATCGCCCTCCAGGCTGAAAAGTGGAGGAAGCCTTTTCTATTTTCTTTTTTCTTTTTTTTTTTTTTTTTATCATCTCTGTCTTCTTCTTCCCTGCACTGTTAGGAATCCCCTGTGCCCACATACATAATGAGTCACCAGCTCAGACGTCAGGCAGACCCACAAACACTGGGAGGTATAATTTGTCAACCAGTTGGCACCTGAGGAACTAATTGTAAAACAAAGCATGACTGGCAAGACACTGTTAAAAAGAACAAACAGGCACCTCTTGATGAAGAGCAGAAACACACAACGCAGACTGGTAACTCTACCAAAACTTCTTAATATTACATTTCAGTCATTCAAGTAATGTCATTTCATTCTCACTTTCTAGATTTTTCAATTCTTAATTTTTTCCTGTGTAAGAACATCTATGACAAGCATGATAATGAGCAGACAGACATGTCAGCTGGAAAGAAAAAAAAAATCACTTTCTAATACAGATGCAGCTAAATTTAGCACACCATTATAGCCGTTTCACTGTGTGAGGCCTCCTCGCTGCAGACGCCCCCCTGGTCAGCGCTCTGTCAGAGGAGGTCACACAGATAGGTCACCTCCTCTGACAGTGAGCTGACTGTGGATCCATGGATCCACGGAGGCTTTGGACGCTTTACGCTATTCTCCAAGAAG